TGGATTTCACGTTTCGGGCCCGTTTTTAGCCCGAAAATCCAAAGCAAATTGTCATTGGCTGGCGGACAACGGAAAAAATGCCCCAAAACACGTTTGTTGGCCACCATTTTTTCATCTTTTTTTTCATTAGCCAAAACAAAAATTATTTATATAATATATATGTGTATCTGAAAAGTGGGGCCAAGTCAAAGACACGTACGCCTTCGGTTTGGAATAGTTAACTAATTTTTAATTTCTGGCTGCTCTGTTTTTCTGTTTTTTTTTTTTTGGCATGATCTCATCGAGCGAGTGTGTTTGTGAGAGTCGGCAGCCAATCCCACTTTGGCTCATTATGCGAGTATCTGTGAGATACTTTTTCTGTGCCGAGCTTGCTGATGATGTGCTGCCCACTCGATCATCATGGTAATGATCGCCAAGAGCCCCAGCCAACTGACCAGTGGGCCGAGATACTTTTGTATCTTTTTATTCCGTTCGTCATTGCTCGCTGTCTTTTGATTTGCTGAGGGCCATTTTGACGGCTCTTGTGAGTTGGCGTTGTTAATGATCCCAAAAGCCAATTTCGTCCAAAAACTGTACTGCTGCCGAAAGATAAAAAACATTTTTAATGATGATTAATTCGTGAAAAACCCCTAACACAATGGATAAAAGCTAAAGTTCCAAAGCTTTAAGAGATCCACAAAAAATAGTTATCTAAATGTTATTCTTTAGAAAAACACATTTCAAAAGGATAAGCATTTAATATAACATATATGAATATTAAAAAACGAAAATCAACTGATTTCTTCAGTAATGTATTGCTACATTTTATCGCAACAAGTGTTGGGACATTTAAATTGATAATAGTTCCAGTTTTCCTCGAAAAATTGTGAGTAATTTTACCAAGAATTCACAATCTCGTTATATGAAACAAATAGCTTAAAGTAGAAAAATTGAACTGAAAGTAGAAAAAATTGAATTGAACTGGATTCCTTTATGTTTCCTTAAAGTTGGATATAACAAGAAATTTTACAATCTGTTTTTTTAGAAAAACATAAAAGCAAAACGCATCTTTAAAAATCATACGAGCTAACAAACTTCTTTGTGTTAATTCTTCGTAAGCAACAATTTCAAATGAAATTCATATTGTCCATATTAAGAACTAGTATAATGTTAGATATAACTATTATATAAAACTTCAGATATATGCAGATATCAATAAATATAAAACAATAACAGTAGCATAGAAATTCTCTATCGACTGATTGTACAATGTAAAAATTGATTTGAAAGAGCGTTTTACGAACTGAATTACATTCCCTATTGAAAAGATATACGGTTCTTATAGAAATTCCGTTAGTAAGGGTTCCAAATCAACAAGTAAAACTTCCAAAAGCAGTCGAACTCTTTAAACGTTCGCCTTAAATGATCAACGGCGAGGGGCACTTAATTTTAGTCGCTGTGGCTTTTATTTTTTAGTCGCTGCCACTAACTAAGAGAGCAGTCGATGGATGGCTGATTGAGCGAGAGCGTGTGAGAAACACCCTGTGAAAGTATTCTCGACTCGATTATTATTATTTGCCATTGGCACATTCGTATCTGTATCTCGGAATGTGAGGCGAAGTCGTATCTGTATCCGAAGCATACCCGAAGCGGTCTCTCCCACACAAGGTGTATGAGTGCGAGCGAGATGGCTGGCCAGCAGAAAGAGACGGCGAATGACGAGCGCTGCGAACGAGCAGCCAACAACCCGAGTGCAACTTCAGAGCAACTTCAGTTCTTGAACGGATGTCGAAGGTGGCAGAGCTGACGTCGCTGGCTCTACTCATATTACCATTATATCTTATATATAGCACCGTGCTCTAGTGGACCTTACATGATCTTAAATCGCTCATACGCCGCGTTTGCTGGTTCTTTTTTTATCGTCCGCTGTGTAAAGGAAAGGGCGCGCAAGTAACGATAAAATAAATGCGAATTTAAACATACTGATTGTCGCGTGGAATGAAAACAATGTACATATAGCTACGATATGCGCATTAATTTATCGCCCGTGCCAGAGCGACGATCGTGAAGTGCTTACAATTAATTGCCATTAATTTGCAAAAGTGCTAAGAATTCGCGACGGTGTGTGAACTGCGAATGCCGCAAAATAAAAATAAATATATCTCAACAAGTGCGAACATTGTATATAGTTATTGAAAAATCCCGCAAGCTAATCAGGGATTTTGGAAAACATAACGCCCTCATACCAAAAAGAAACAAAACTTGTCAATTGTCCAGTGGGCCATCCAATTGATTAAGAACCGACCCGCATCGAAAAACCCAAAAATCATAAACCACAATACTGACAGTGCAAAAATTAAAATAAACCCCCCAAAAAAAACAAAGCAGGGAAAACCAAAGTGAAGTGAAATCAATTTTAATACAACTGCAAGTACCACCAGCATAAAGGGGACACAATCGTATTTATCAATTGAGAGCTGATCCCGCAGATTTGCCTAGTTAATAGAGTCAATGACGTGCACTTTGACCAGCGAGGTGGAGTTTCCGTTTTTGAGTACCGATCATTTTGAAGCGAAGAAATGCCGCCCTCTGCGTTTTTAGTGAATGCCAGCATAATCAGTGCCGCCAACGCCTTGGACAGCGATAAGGAGCAGCAGCTTCAGGAGCATCAGCAGCAGCAGCAGCAGCAGCAACATCACTTTACCAGCAGCAGCAACAACAATTGCCACACGGCACCCAACTACAACATGGTCCTGCAAAGCTATGAGAACTATCCCAGCTATCACCTGGCCCAGCATCATCATCACCACCACCACAGCCATCACAGTCATCCGCATCACCAATTGGCCCAGCAGCCCGGACTGCATCATCACGCGATGCAGCAGCAGCAGCAGGGACAGCACCTGCAACAGCAGCCGCAGCAGCAACATCTACCCCACCAGCAACACCAGCAGCAGCAGCAGCCACATCAGCAGTCATACGGCTCATCCCAGCTGCCCCATCATCGTTTATCCGGCGGCAGTACGGGCAGCACCACCACCACCTCCTCCGGCTCCAGTTCGAGTGGCTCCTCGTCGAGTGCCTCCTCCACGCAGGGATTCGCCTCCGGGGGCAGCGGCAGCAGCAGCACCACCAACGCCAGCAACCTGGTGGGGGCACTTAGTAGTTCCACGGCGGCGTCACTGGGTCTTGGGTACTTCAATGACATGGCGCCCTTTGTGGGCGATGGCAATGCCTACTACACGGACTCGGATGTCAACTTCTTTAGTTCAGGTACAGTGGCAGGTCAGCAAATATTTACCGACATCAAAAACGGTGCTTTTAATTACGATTGCTGGGGTGTGAAAAGGCAGCAAACCAGAAGAAGATGCGATGCGGTGCGATTCGGTGGCATAATTAAATTCGTAATTTGTTTTTAAGTGTTTGACACGCAACAAGTCGGGGTGGCTAACGGGGATGGAGGGTTACACGTAGAGAAAAAATTATAAATATAAAAAAATATTTATAAGAAAGGTTTTTAGTTGATTCTTAAGTTTAATATGAAAATAGGTATCTACATCTTTTCTTACTTTAAGTTTAAATACATAAAGATATTTCTCTTTATTTGATTAAGTTATAGAGATCGTTGCAAAAATATCAGTGTCAATTTTTTTTTATTTTATTTTTATTTTAAGTACAAACTTTTTTATTAAAAATATTATATAATTTAAAAGGAAAGGTTGAATATTATATTCTCCCAATTAAATATGACAAACACGCTCCAGAACTGGTTGGGAATTATAGCGCCCCAGAGGTAATTTTTTGGTAATTTAAAACCGCTGCTTCAAGCCTCATTTAAAATGTATCTTTATAAACGCATTTTCGTACACAATACCACTTTTCTCTGGGTGTAACAGATTGACCTGGTGATAAGTGGCTTGTTAAGCGTTAGAAGATGCCTCAGATGTATCTGCCAGATGCGGATACTCTCGCGCTCTCTGGAGGCGGCACCTAAAGAGGCGCTGCCAACTCTTTGGCCAGCCAACGGGGAGCTGTATCTGTATCTTTGTATCTGCGAGCGAATGGGAATCGAAACGAAGCGCTGGGAAAGCTTTTTATTTCTTTGCTGTGTGCGAGAGGGACGGCCAGAGGTCGGCGCATGTGTATGTGGGTATGTGCCAACAGGTTTTCGTATCCCACAGATACAACACGACGAGTGTACATCGAAATGTGTTAAATTTCGCTGTATTCGCAATTAATGTAGCGTGCACACACCATTAGATCGGGGTTGTTATGCCTGTGTGCGTGCGTATCTGTGTCCCACGGGGTTCGTGTATGTGTGTGCGCTGTGATTTTGATTGGTTTTCGAAGTCTTTAGCTCGATTGAGAGACGCCCCATTTCTATGAACATTATTTAATTGAAACTGCGAACTGTCTGTAATGAATGTGTTTTAGCGTGTGAAAAAAATCTATCTAGGTTTTTGAACGGTACCAATTAAATTTCCCATAAGATATTCTTGACTTTCTACGGCTTAATACGTTTGCCATTATTCTTAAGAAGGCTTAAAGACTGTGTTTCCTGGAATCACTTTTTAATCAAGCAAAAAAGCTAGAAAAATATAATATGGTATTTTTATCCACTTCTTTTGTAACCTTGGAATTAAAAGATTAAATATTTGCTTCAAATTGCGTAAGAAAACATATGTTCCATTCAAAAGTTTTAAGAATGTTTATACATTTTTGAAATATGACGCAATATTAAGTAATTTTAAAACTCAACAAACATTAAGATTATAATATTATAAACGAAAATTAAAAAAGTAAAACATATATTCGTCTAATCTTAAGTGTTAAAGCGTTTATTGTGTTTGATCCAAAAATAATCAATATGAATTTTCTAACTGATCTGCTTTGATTTCTTAAATTGTTGTGTCATATTTTAAGTGGGTTAACGACCACAAATTATCAGATACGAACCCATATCCCATATCGAATCTGACCCATATCGATTCTAATCCAATTACCATCTTTATCGCATGCAGGCTACAACACCAGCAACACACACGACCGCAGCAACAACAGCCCGCCCCCGCAGCAGCAGCAATCGCAGCAGCCGACTGTCAATGGCAGCAGCAACGCCAGCAGCAACAACAACAGCAGCAACTCCATGCTACCGCCCGCTGTCCAGCAGAACAACAACAACGAAAACAACAACACCAGCAGCAGCAGCAACACGAACAGCAGCAGCAACAGCAACAACAACAACAGCAACAATGCGGGCAGCAATAACAACAATAATAACAATAATAACATCAACTATATGGCCACCATGGCGGCAATCTACCAACATCACCTCAAAGAGGAGCCGGGCACCCAGAATAGCAGCATTGGCTATGGCGGCAGTAATAGCCAAAACGATCCCACGGATCTCAGTAGTTATGGCCTGCCCGCCCACCTGGCCGCCTACAGCGGTGGGAGTGGCAGTGGGCCAACGGGTGGCGGGAGCTCCGGTGGCGATGAAACCGATTACCACAGCACGATCTCGGCACAGGATCATCAGAGTCAGCAATCGAGTGCAGGAAATGGAAGTGGTGGAGGAGGAGCAAGTGGTGGTAGCACTGGGACCAGTAATGGCTACATGGACAGCAGCTCCGAGTTCTATGCCAGCTACGCGGGAAGGAATCGATTCCATGATGGCTATCCGCCGGAGTTTACGCCCTACGATGCCCAATCCTTCCAGTCGATGGGCGCCCAGCCCACGGCAATGGATCAATGGGGTGCCCATGCCCACCAGCATCCGGCGGCCTACATGAGCACCCTGGGTCTGGACAAGGGTCTGCTGGGCGGCTATACGACGCAGGGCGGTGTGCCGTGCTTCACAGGATCGGGTCCCATTCAACTGTGGCAATTCCTGCTCGAGTTGCTGCTGGACAAGACGTGCCAGAGCTTCATCTCCTGGACAGGAGATGGCTGGGAGTTCAAGCTCACCGATCCCGATGAGGTAGGATTATTATAATATAACTTTTTTCCGAAATCCTTACTTACTTGTATGTGTTTTTATCAGGTGGCTCGTCGTTGGGGTATCCGCAAGAACAAGCCCAAGATGAACTATGAGAAACTGAGTCGAGGACTGCGCTACTATTATGACAAAAACATCATCCACAAGACGGCTGGCAAACGATATGTCTACCGCTTTGTCTGTGATCTCCAGAATCTAGTTGGGTAGGTTTTCTAAAATTCTTAAAACAAGATGAAAAAAATACTTATCAACATTTTATCCTTATAAACAGGCACACCCCCGAGGAGCTGGTGGCCAAGTACGATCTTAAGATTGAGAAGAAAGATGTGGATTAGCAGCAGAGCAGCGAAGAAGCTGCCTGAATCGGGAGCAGTTCCAGGAGACCTGCTCCCAGCCACGGATTGTACTCAACCAACCGCAAAATACTTTCGAGCGTTATTGTTTACCAAGCGTGATGTTAGCTTTTAAGCAGCAGTCCCCCCATCTGCGATCTTGCTACGAGATTAAAGTGTTGGCCAACCCACAAACCACCACCCACCATCCCCAAAGCCCCAAGCCCACACCACACCCACCACCAACCTATGAAAACCGATTTACTTGTAATTATCGTGTATAAATTAGACTTTTGAATTAATTTGAAATTAATTTAAAATACTTCAGAGTTAGACTTAAGCCGATCTAAAGCAAGAGAACCAGTTGAAGATGAAGCGAATTAAATTTGAGAATTCTGTGTGCAATGCGTTGATGTTTCTTCGTTCTCACATAGTCTGTATGTCAAGGATCGAACGTTGATAGAGGCCATATAAAGCATGTGTCCCCCAAAAGTGATATTAGAGCGCAACATTTTGTTATACTTACATAATCATTTTACCCGCACGGGGCACCAGAAACATTTCAAAATCATGCATGTATATAGCGATGAAGATGAGTGTATGGCATATAAGTAGGTCTCTAGTATTTATGTATAACCTGTAATCTGTGCTACTGGTACAACTAAGTTTTCCACTTCCAAGCCTCCCCTTTTCCTGTACTTTTTCTGTGCGCTTCCGTGCGATCCCAAAAGTTTTAAACGTAAAACGGCACAATAGTTGATCATCCGATGTATCCGATGAACTTTTGTTAGCGTCTACTATATGTATACTTATAGGCTATCCCTAGTTTGTAGGACCCCTAGTGCGTTAATCGACAGTTCAAGAAGTGTTTATTACCTTGTGTATAGCTATTAACTACTTAAGACTAGCTCGTAGATGCTTAGCCACGTATTACACGCATAAACATAACGTTATATTGATACATAGATACACATACATTTGTAGAGCAATTCTAAAATATTGTATTTATACAAGCGTACATCGTAATATTAAAGCTACCATTAACATTGCTAATGATAAAAACAATAAAAGAAAACCGATATGAAAATACAACAAACATGTCTCTGTCTTAGTTCTCTCTGGTTTATATTTCAAAGTGGTCAAGATATATATTTATTTTTTTGAATTTTTCTGAGAGATTTCCAAATTTTCTTTAACATTTATTTGTGTTCTAATTTCCTGTTGACTCTCCAGGATGTTTCGCAATCTGTCAACCCTTCTTAGCAAAATGCGGCGCCTTAGCCCTAAGCAAATTTCAGTTCGCTACGAGCACAAAATGCCTGAAAACCTCAAAAAAGTCGAGACGGACAAGGACCCTGAGTTCTCTGCCATGGTAATGTACTACTACCACAGGGCCGCCCAGACCATGGAGCCTGCCTTGGTCAAGGAAATGGAAAAGTACCCTCATATGAAGCCCGAGGAGCGTCAGGCACGAGTTAGCGCTATTCTTAACTTGCTCGGAAACGTCTCAACCTCGGTAGAGGTCAATTTTCCCATTGTCCGCAAGAATGGGACGTACGAAATTATTAGCGGTTATCGTTCTCATCATGTACGTCATCGTCTGCCGCTGAAAGGGGGTAAGTATATCTTTGTCCCATAAATCAAAGTACGCGAATTCTTCAGTATTGAACGTTTTGTTTAACTTTATACCACCTTCTGTATTTTGTATTACGCGAATTCTTTAGGATCGAATATTTTGTACTTTTGTTAGACTTACCAACTCTTTCTAAGGCTGACTAAAGTGAATATTTTGATGTAGAATATTAGAAAATTCAAATACAAATTCATAGAGGTATCCCACGTCTAAATCGGGATAAAATTACGAAAGTTATGAAATTTAGAAGTGCAGTTTTGGGTTCCAATACTGAAAACCTTGGAAACAAGAAAAAATCGAACATGAAAGTGGGTCAAAATTTGGACCCTCGTATAAAGTGAATATTTTTATTTAGAATATTAGAGAATTCAAACACAAACTCATAGAGGTATCCCACGTCTAAATCGGGATAAAAATACAAAAGTTATGAAATTTAGAAGTGCAGTTTTGGGTTCCGATACTGAAAGCCCTTGGAAATAAGGAAAAATCGAACATGAAAATGGGTCAAAACTTGGACCTTCGTATAAAGTGAATATTTCGATGTAGAATATTAGAGAATTCAAACACAAACTCATAGAGGTATCCCACGTCTAAATCGGGATAAAATAACAAAAGTTATGAAATTTAGAAGTGCAGTTTTGGGTTCCGATACTGGAAGCCCTTGGAAATAAGGAAAAATCGAACATGAAAGTGGGTCAAAATTTGGACCCTCGTATAAAGTGAATATTTTGATATAGAATATTAGAAAATTCAAACACAAACTCATAGAAGTGTCCCACGTCTAAATCGGGATAAAATTACGCAAGTTATGAAATTTAGAAGTGCAGTTTTGGGTTCCGATACTGGAAGCCCTTGGAAATAAGGAAAAATCGAACATGAAAGTGGGTCAAAATTTGGACCCTCGTATAAAGTGAATATTTTGATATAGAATATTAGAAAATTCAAACACAAACTCATAGAAGTGTCCCACGTCTAAATCGGGATAAAATTACGCAAGTTATGAAATTTAGAAGTGCAGTTTTGGGTTCCGATACTGGAAGCCCTTGGAAATAAGGGAAAAATCGAACATGAACATGCGTCAAAATTTGGACCTTCGTATAAAATGATTATTTTGATGTAGAATATTAGAGAATTCAAACACAAACTCATAGAAGTGTCCCACGTCTAAATCGGGATAAAATTACGCAAGTTATGAAATTTAGAAGTGCAGTTTTGGGTTCCGATACTGGAAGCCCTTGGAAATAAGGAAAAATCGAACATGAAAGTGGGTCAAAATTTGGACCCTCGTATAAAGTGAATATTTTGATGTAGAATATTAGAAAATTCAAACACAAACTCATAGAGGTATCCCACGTCTAAATCGGGATAAAATTACAAAAGTTATGAAATTTAGAAGTGCAGTTTTGGGTTCCGATCCTGAAAACCTTGGAAATAAGGAAAAATCGAACATGAAAGTGGGTCAAAATTTGGACCCTCGTATAAAGTGAATATTTTGATGTAGAATATTAGAAAATTCAAACACAAACTCATAGAGGTATCCCACGTCTAAATCGGGATAAAATTACAAAAGTTATGAAATTTAGAAGTGCAGTTTTGGGTTCCGATACTGAAAGCCCTTGGAAATAAGGAAAAATCGAACATGAACATGGGTCAAAATTTGGACCCTCGTATAAAGTAAATATTTTGATGTAGAATATAAGAGGATTCAAACACAAACTCATAGAGGTATCCCACGTCTAAATCGGGATAAAATTACAAAAGTTAAGAAATTTAGAAGTGCAGTTTTGGGTTCCGATACTGTAAACCTTGGAAATAAGGAAAAATCGAAAGTGGGTCAAAATTTAAACCCTCGTATAAAGTGAAAATTTTGATGTAGAATATTAGAAAATTCAAATACAAACTCATAGAGGTATCCCACGTCTAAATCGGGATAACATTACAAAAGTTATAAAATTTATGAGACCGTAAAAACTTTTTTATAAAAACATATTTAAGAAAGATACTATCCATAGTATTTTAATTTTTAAGCAGTATTATACAATTATTTTTAAGCTTCCCATTATCTGTAGGAATCCGGTACGCTCTAGATGTGGACGAACACGAGGTAAAGGCCCTCGCAGCTATAATGACATTTAAGTGCGCGTGCGTAAATCTTCCATACGGTGGATCCAAGGGTGGAGTATGCATTGACCCCAAGCAATATACCGTAGATGAGCTGCAGACGATCACGCGTCGATATACGATGGAGCTGCTAAAGCGTAATATGATAGGTCCAGGCATTGACGTTCCGGCACCGGATATGAACACTGGTCCTCGTGAGATGTCCTGGATTGTGGATCAGTACCAAAAGACCTTTGGCTACAAGGACATTAATTCCTCAGCTATTGTCACTGGAAAGCCAGTGCACATTGGGGGTATTAACGGTCGACACTCGGCTACGGGAAGGGGCGTGTGGAAGGCTGGTGATCTCTTTCTGCAGGACAAGGAGTGGATGGATCTGCTCAAGTGGAAGACAGGCTGGAAGGATAAGACGGCCATTGTGCAGGGTTTCGGTAATGTGGGATCCTTTGCGGCTAAGTTCGTTCATGAGGCGGGCGCCAAGGTCATCGGGATCAAGGAGGTCGATGTTTCCCTTTACAATAAAGATGGCATCGATATCAACGTGAGTTCTTAAATAATCTATCATAATATTAAGCTCAAAATGTGTATTATATATAGGACCTTCTTGAGTACAAGGAGGAAAAGAAGACCATTAAGGGCTACCCCAAGGCTGAGGAGTCCAAGGAGGAACTGCTGACGGCCGAGACCGATATCCTAATGCCCTGCGCCACCCAAAAGGTGATTACCAGCGAAAACGCCAAGGACATCAAGGCCAAGCTGATTCTGGAGGGCGCCAATGGACCCACCACTCCCTCTGGAGAAAAGATCTTGTTGGACAAGGGAGTGCTCCTCGTGCCCGATCTATATTGCAATGCTGGCGGTGTGACTGTATCCTACTTTGAGTACCTGAAGAACATAAACCATGTGTCCTACGGCAAAATGAACTCTAAAACCACGTCCGAACTAATTATCGAACTGATGAACTCGATAAATGAGTCACTGTGTCAGTGCCCCGATGCTTCATTTGTAAGTCAATCTTTAAATATACCACTTAACATTATTACTTATAATACCTTTTCGATCTCAGCCTGAAATTAAGCCCAACAAGAAACTAAAAAAAATTCGCGAGTGCACCACGGAGGCGGACATTGTCGATTCCGCCCTTCAGACTGTGATGGAGGCTGCGGCTCTTGGCATCAAGCAGATGGCCCACAAATTTGAGTTGTGCAACGATCTGCGCCGAGCCGCATACGTTTGGTCCTCCTTCAAAATTTTCCAGGCTATGGAAAGCTCTGGGATTTCTCAACAGTAATGCTGCGTCATTAAAAGTTTTATAAAACCTGAAATATTTAAGAATTAAGTATTCGATATACATATAACATCGTTTGTTCTAGAATGCTGAAATTATGGTTTATAATAAATATTTATTGCAATTGAAATACATTAGATATTGTGATTTTTAAATGAGGATCATTGGAGAACAATATTGTTGGACTAAATGTAACTGGCATACTTGTTTGGTATACTTGCACAGATTTTACAAATTCAAGATGTAGAGAAAAATATATTAGTTTTTGGACCACGCATGCCTTGGAATAGAATTCATATCTTAGTTAAACGTTAGATTGAACATACATTAGGAAATTCCTTGAATACTCTACTAATACTACAACCGGAAAAACGAATATCTTGCTTTTTTAGCGCTACTACCACAAATTTAATAAAAAACTCACCATGGAGGAAATCAAGAAGTTCGACAAAGTTGCCTTCCTGGAAAGCTACCTGCTGAAGCACAAGGAGCTGGGCAAGCGTCAGAGGGAGTACAAGAAGATCCTGTCCAGCAAACTGAAGACGCGCAAGGAGACGATCATCGAGGCCAGCTATGAGACGGCCATCGACCAGCTGGAGGAGGAGAAGAACGACCTGAGGGCCCAGATCTGGGTGGCCAGTGGAACAACACACAAGAAGCAAAACAACCGATGGCTGGAGCTGATTCGATGCCATGTGGAGTGCCAGGAGAACCTGTCGCAGGACATAAACTCCCTGAAAACCTCAATTTTCAACATGGAGAAGGAGATCAGTCGCATGGCCAAGCAAATATATAACCTGAATCGTTTGACCATTCCAGATCAGCAGCATCAGGCGTATGTGATGAAGGCCAGGAAGAGGATGACCATTCTGGAGAACTCCCTGGAGGTGGGGGTGCGTCACGAGTGTGGTTTCACAGCAGCCAATGCCGATCTGCGAGAGCAACTCATCCGCATCCTTAATCACAGGACTTTCTTCAATGACTCCTACACCAAAATGGTGCAGAAACTCAACAGCGAGAAGAAGTATCTCATAGATCTTATAGAGTATGCCCTCAACACCTTCGATGGCTGCATCGAGGTGTACGAGAAGATTGATATGCTGGCCAAAAGGGAGGCCAAGGAGCGGGATCTGCGACGTGTGGAGATGCAGGGCATCATGCGAAAGGTGGCCGCTGATGGGGACAATTCCGCATTCCTCAACTGCAAATCTAAGGCACGGGAACTGGCCGATCTGCAGCCCAAGGAGTACAAGCGAAGGGACGAGTTCCGCAGGGTACACAACAAGAAGATCAATCTCTATAACTCGGTGCTGCAGAAGATCCTCCAGTACACCGATTCCAATAATATGGACGAGGTGATTGACAAGTTCCAGCAGCAGGAGAGTCTCTACTACTCGTTCTTCAACTATGCCAACGAAATGAGCTACCACATCACTATGTTAAACAACTCGGTTAATCGCCTTTTCGAGGATATAGTCACGCTGAAGAAGGACAACTCCAATACGCTGCAGGAGCAGCTGGATCAGATAGCCAGTCTGGAGAACAAGGTGCGCACCAAGCAGGAATCCAACATGGAGCTGCACAAGGCCCGGGAGAGCAACGATGCTAGGTTGGAGAATCTGCTGCAGGGCATGGAGACGGTCTGCGAGATGTGCTCCATTGATGCCAGTCCACTGGCCAAGCTCCTAGGCGACCACACTCATGTGAACCTGGTCAATGTCAATCGATTCCTTAAGATCCTCGAGGTGAGAGTACAGGAGCTGACCGCCAGCGTTTATGTGATGGAGCGCCAGGAGGAGGGTCGCTTCGACTATGTGGTCAAGCAGATCGAGAAGATCTGCGAACTGCCCACCGATCTCAACGATATCGTGCTCACTCAGCAGTGTCCCGAGTGCGCCGAGGGCGAGGCTTTCAACATGGACGAGGGCGGCGACGGGGTGCTGGTCCACACGGTCACCGAGGCCAAGAAGAAGCTCTACGAGAAGGTCACCCAGCCGGAGATGCAGTACCGCCTGCACAGCATCAGCCAGTGCCGTCTGCCTCGCTCCCGCCTCCTGGCCGCCAAGCGCAACATGTAGATTCCAGCTTTATCCATTTTGGTCTGGGTTATACTTCAGTTGTCTTAAGAATCCTATCCTCTATTATTTCGGCTTTAATTTAAATACCCATATGTGCAACATTTCCTCACTCGAGATATACCTTTGGAACCTTCTGATGATCTAGAATTTTTGGTTACTATTAAAGAAAATTACCAACTTACTCTGGATTAAATAAAATTTTAAAAGCACACTTTAAATGCGTTATTATTGAAATGCTGTCTACATAAACCTTCCATCCCCTTTAACCTAATAATAATTATAAAATGAATCTCCTGATACAAGTTGCTTTACTTGAAAGGCCTGTCTTCATAATTCTTAAGTCCCCTCTAACTTATTAATAAATATTAAAAACGAAAATTTTCAATTCAATCTAGATTTTTATAATTAAAGACTAAAAATATTAACTAAAGATTCAAATATTGGTGCTAGATGATTGTTGTGTTGAATGCGTTAAATATTTTCGAGCGTGGGTGATCATACGAGCTAGTAGATTCTGTGGCCAAGTGGTTTCTAGGAGCTGGTCTCCTTCTTTTCATCGCCCAAGCCCAATCCGCTGATCAGACCTCCAAGGAAACTGTCCACAATGGGATTGCCACTGCCAGCAGCGGCACCAGGAGCAGGAGCAGAAACAACCGGAGAAGCTGGAACGGAATTGACACTTCCACAATCGTACATGCGGTTCAGCTTCATGATATCGTAGTCAGAGAAACCATTCCTCTGACCCATCTGTTCGGCTCCACCTGCTTTCTGCAAAGAAAAGAACGAATAACATTGAAATACATCCTAAATCCCTGACTTGCTTCTACTCACCATGGCCAGGATGGTGGGCTGTCCGTTGATTGAGAAGGCGTTCTTGGAGTAGTGCATCACACTGCCATAATCGTAGGGCACTCCAAAGGCCTCGGTGCGGGCTGCCTTCTCGAAATTGTTCATTGCCGAGGACTGCACATTATTATACTGGATGGCCACATAGCCATCGCGTTCCATGCGGTTCTGTTCATGAAGAAAACCCAAAGCGTGCATCAGCTCGTGCATGGCTGTTCCAGGACGACTGAGGCAGCCGGGGGTTTGCAGATTGACCTCCTGCTTGCCACCCACGCGACCCACGGAGGACCAGCATCCCGAGTTGTCGCCGCGAATGGAGATGTAGTCCCGCTCCGAGCTGCGCCTCACAAACCGAATGCACGTCCGACGATGGTACTCTGCGATGGCATTCTCGATGGTGGCCATGTCCTTGGCACTGAAGCTTCCTCGGATCTCGTAGGGCACCACACCATTGGGCCAACGGGAGGATTGCGTGGGCAGGCCGTTCTTCATGATCAGATCCGATTGGGGCACCAGCATATCACCCTCCAGGTAGCTGCCCAGTTCCTCGGGATTCATGGCATCCGCATCAGCACTGAAGTTGCCCACACGATCGCCTGTCTGCTTCTCATCCGGTTTGCCAAAGAGCGCCGTTCCGAGTGGAGTGAGATCGATGATGTCCTTGCCGAGGACGGGTGGTGCCTCCTCGATGCCATTTCCAGGCAGCTCGATGACCTCCGTGTCATCCACATCATCGTAGGACACATAAGGATGAGCCTGGCAGACCGTTAGAGCCAAGGCCAGGACTAGAAATATCTTTTGATGGTTCATTGTTGATCTTAGAATTGCCTTGGAGTGGGGTGATTGGCTCGCCTCTTGACTGAATGGCTGGATTTGAACTGTGCTGTGTTCTGGCCCGGCCGGGATTTATATATTCTCCAGCATAATCTCGCCGACGACGCTTTATCGAACTTTGCCGGTGGCGGTGGCTTTCATATGCATAAACATGTTCTCCACGCGGAAACCTTCGGCGGAGCTGCAATCGTCATCGCTGGCTCCTCTTGGATTGTCACACGCTTTATGGCTGGGCAAATATTTGGCCAGCGCTCTCGTTAAGCGGTTATTCATGGGTCTGTGTCTGCTGCTTTGCTATTGCCATAAAGTGTATCAGTAGTTTGTTTGCATATCCAAAGTTTAACGACACTTTATACGTAATTTTTCGCCCCCAAAGGGATAACCGATAAGCACTATCGCGGCGACCTCTTCGCTTTATGGATTTATACCGCCTGCTGGGTGAAAATATTCCGGAATAATTTGTTGGCTAATTGGAGTGGAAAGACTTGTCTTGCGAAACACTTAAATAAACTCTAATACACACAAAACAATTGAAACCGAATGGCATTGAAAAAGTTCATATTTTGGAGTACGTGTCTGTTAGAGGAAGCCAAAAATATTAGTTACTATTGAGTTACAACTTTAGTTATTTGCGTACACTAAGCTAGCTTTAATTACAACGTAGTATATAAGTTACAGAATGATTGAGAGAGCTTGGCTAGGACCACACTTGGCTCTTGGCCCGCACAAATATGATTCAAATGAGACTTTTGCGCAATCTTAAATACTAAATGTTATTCACATGGCGGCGACTTCAATTGATGGTGGGAAAAACAGAGCTGAGAAATCCCAAGACTCTGCTCATTAGCCAGAACAGAACAGAAAAGTACAGATCAAAGCATAAACATCTGTGTTTGCTCTGGCCACGAATTAGGTTCAAGTGCATGGCACATGTTTGCCCGGCTAACGATCGGGGCTAACATTAATGATTCATATCAGTTATGATGAATTCCTTCTAGGTATCGAAGCTCATATCCACCACCATGTTGGATTCGGAATTGGCGAACTCCTCCTCCTCCTCGAACTTGAGCTTCATCCCATTAAACTTGTCCGAGTTCAACACGCGGCGACTATTGGCCGTGATGTTCTTGGCCACATCTCGCAGGGCGGCGCTGCAGATCTCATCAATAGTGGCCGAGTCGTCCATCAGGTCTTCGATGCAGCTCTTAAGGATAGTGGAGGTCACAATGCAGTCTCTATTGAGCGCCAAGCTCTTGTGGAAGGCTTCGATGGCAGGGTCTAGGTTACCCAGCAAAGCGTGTATAAAACCAATGGAAGTGTAAGTAGTGGGACTCTGGGGCTTCAGGAGAAGCGCCTGAAAGGGTCAAAAGTTATAAATCATTAGTTGCTTTTTTACAGACTCTAATAATACACTTACATATTGGAAGTTGTACAGAGCTTCCTCGTACTTGTGCACCTTGCGCAGCGAGTGGCCAAGGTTGATAAACAGGGGCTCCCAGCGGGCCGAGATCTCCTCGTTATTGCTCTTTGCTCGTTGTTTTACAATGTCTACGGTGCACTGGAAGATTGTTGCGGCGCCATCGAAGAACTCGTACTCGTACTTGATCACGCCCAGCTCATGGAGCACATATACATCCAGCGGTGCTATATTCATAGCTTGCAGGAAAAACTTCTCGGCTAGCTCCAAGTTCTTGGTCAGGCCGCACTCCACGCCAATGTAGAGCAGCGGCAGATGACAGCCCCGCATCAGTTGAGTTGCCTTAAAATAGGCGGCCATAGCCTGCTCGTGCTCGTTCTCATTGGCAAAACTGTGGCCATAGGCCAGCCAAGCGGGGCCATAAAGTCGATCTAGAGCAGTAGCCTTGGAGAGATACCGCCGAGCGGGATCGCTCTTGCCAATCATGTCGTAGTAGCAGCCCACGGCGTACCAGGAGATCGCCTTGTCCGGATAGCGATCCACCAGTTTGTGGGCCACGTAGAATAGCCTGTTGAAGTCGCCGTTCTCCACCAGGCAGGCAATCTGAATGGTCAGGGCGTTGTTATGGAACGGATCCACTTTTAGTAGTCTGTGGGATAAAGATATCGGTATTAAAGACAGAAGGAAAAGATTGAATAGGTCACAAATACTTACTCATTTAGTATCTTCATGCACTGTTTGTAGTCGCAGTCGTAGAAACACTTCTCCGCCTCTGCGGCCATTATATCCGTGCTGCGTTGCATTCGATCCAGGCAATCTCCGAGAGGAATCAAGGTGTCTGCGTCGTGATCTCGGGATCGCCTCCTGCTGGAGGAGTCGAACATGGACCGATGAGAGGCATCAACGAGGGAAGAGGCCTTCGAGAGACTTGTTTGCAGGGAGAACGTGGGCGCCTTGAGATCCTCCAGGACTCTAAAAAGGCAAAGATGTATAAGTAATTGTGAAATATTGAACAAATCGATATGACTCACTTCTGGGCGGGCGACATGAACTGGCTGGGCGTAAGCGGCACCTTGAGGGCGCTCACCTTGGGCATCTGGTTGTCCGAGGAGCTGGTCTGCTGCACTCGGGCAGTGAACTCCTTGATGAACTTGAGTATATCGGGATTTACAATGGGGGATATCTCCTCGGCATTGCGGGCGGAAATCAACTCGTAGTACTTCTTGAGGCGAGATTCGTAGAGTTTCAATATAAACTTGGCGTCCGTTTCGCTGGATTGCTGCGCCAGTGGCAAGTGGTGCATTAGCTCAAATTCTGCAAGGAACAGGGTGTTAAGACAGGTTTAATGAAAGATTCATCTACGTACCTTCCCAGGCCATGAGCATCTCGTGCTGAACCAGCGCCTCCAAGGCCTCAAAACAGTAGATGGATTTGTGGAGGGCCTGCACATAGAAGTCCATGGCCATGCCGCGATTGTCCAGGGCCTCGTACACCTTGCCCTTCATCAGGTAAATGGACGAGAGCAGTTCGTTCCGGTGGTTCTCTTCGCCGCCAAAGACACTGTTGGTCTCCAGGTAGCAGCCACTGCCGGCATCCACGGGCTGGTTGATCAGCGACGTGGTCATGACCTCCACCTCCACGTTCTGGATGGCATTGGCCGCCTCCGTGTACTCCTTGGCCGCATAGAGACTTTCCAGGAGCAGGTTGAAGCACGGCAGCGAGTTCTTCTCCAGCTTGTGGTGCTGAATCGTATGGGCGGCGCGATGGTACTCTCCCAGCAGGAACATGCACTGGGCCTGGTAGTAGATGTCCCTGGGCTCATGGCCACTCAGCACGGCCACCTTTTCCGCCCAGAAAAGGGCAGTGGAGTAGCGACGCTAGAAATGCAATTGGTTTTTTACTGAGGTTACATGCCGGCTTTTTGGTTTCGCTTCTTACCATGTCTATAAACTGTTTGACCAGCTGCCGGTATACCGTCAGATCAATGTGGTCATTGGTGGTGTCCGTACTGGTATTTTCCGTGTCTCCCGGCATTTTAATTCAGCATTAATTGTATTTTTCAATAGGAATTTGTTAAAAGTTTACTACCGCTGGGAATTAACTTAATCGAGTAGATCTGGCAACGCCGTGCAAACAGCTGTTGTTGCCATTTATTCTGAACAGTTGTTTATTGTAGTGAGAGAAATTTAATTGGTTTTGAAACTAATATAAGGAAAAATAACTAACAAAAGACATATAATAAATAAATAAAAAGAAATATATTTTGTTAAATAATAAATTAATAAAAATAAAAAATGTAAGTATACGCACTTTTGAGATATCAAAGATGTTTGATAAATGTTGCTAGCAACATTGTTGCGAAACAAGAGAATAACGAATTATTGCTTAGCAACAATGTTAATAACGCTGTTAATAACGGCGCAGACTCCGCAGCCTAACAGCGCTGTTACAGATGTCTATTTAAGCAGCCGTTCCCGTTCATTTCGACCAAAAAATCCCGACAAAATTATAAATAAATAAGACATAAAATATAGAAAATATCACGGGATGATATTTAGTTTCTTCTAATAATTTGTTTTGCCCCGGCAAAGTTCGCACTCCACTCCACGCAAAAATCGAATTAGAGCGCCGCCATTCAGCATTCGAACGATTTTCAACAATCAAAATAGTTAATAGTTAAATAGTAACAAAAAAAATGCATTCGTGAGTGGAGTTTTTGGCGAAACAGCAGTGGAAGGAGAAACGGATAACGGCGAAGGGCGTGCAAGGCAGAAGTAACGGTTCCTGGCGGCGTGTGTGCGAGTGTGTGTAAAAATGTGCTTGGCGGACGACAAAAGAAACGGGATGCGATTATTGCGGGTTCGGAATTAAATTCACACGAATTAATGCGAGGCGCGTGTTTTTGCGACTTTGGTATGTATTGGTGTTGGTTTTAGCCGGCACAACAAATTAGCGTAGTTGCTAGGAAAAAGTTAGCAGCAAAAAACAGGGCAGCGGCTCATTTCGTTTTCTCTCATTCCCACCGTGCGTATTTTTTACAACTACTAGTATGTGCCGTTGGTTCTTCCTTTTTTTTTTGTCCTTCCTTTGGCTCACGTCATCTCTGCAAGAACAACAACAAGCAATCGCCGCCTAAGCTACACGGAAAAAAATAAAGCTCGAAATGCGCAGGTCATGTTATTTGCATATCGAAAAATGCCTAAATGTATTTGCTTACTTCAAAATCATAATAAAATGATATGGCTCATTAAAATATTTAAGTTAATTATGTCAGCACGCCTAGTTTTCTCTCCGTGTATACACTTATTCTTACTACCCATTATTCTACGCACAGTGAGAGAAAGAGCGAGTGGAGAGAGAGCGAGACAGGGCTTGGCTCCAGCTCCGTCTTCCATCTCCATCTCCATTTTACAACTCCGCTGCTCATCTCATGCTGATTTATGGCTCTAATAATAGGTTCGCTCAACACACAGCTTCCGAAAGGATTACCCCATTACCCCCCAAAAGGATAATGCATAGTTTGTGTTATTGGCGACCATAAAAGGGGGACGTTTTAAAGTAAACGACCCGGGATTATAGTTAATTACAGTTAGTTGGTGCTAGAGTGAGTAGAGAGAGAGAGAGGGATACGCCTTGATCGATTTACGGCATTTAACGCTCAAGTGCGTACGCGTGTGTTTTCTTTAAACTCCAGTGATTCGGAAACTACAAAGAGGTGTGCGTACTTATTATTAATTCAAGCCGATGCCGATGATATTTTCAGGACCTTCGAAATTTGCATCGTTGACGAGGCGGAATAATGAATCGATGACTATTTGCTGCTGATACGGCCACATCTGCCAGCTGTCTTGGGTCTCCTGCGACCGCTCGCCCCCTCTCGCTCGCTCACTCGTCCCGTTATCCTGTGGAGCCCCGAGCGGCGAGCAACAACAACAACACAAACCCAGACTCCAACCGGAAGGCCTGCGCAGGAGAGAGACAGAGAGAGTGAGAGAGAGAGAGACACTGCGCGAGAGGACTCTCCGCCGGCTGGGGAAGAGGAAGAGGAAAAGGGAAGGAGAGAGCGCAAGGACGAGAGGCGGAAGTGGTGACATCTGTTTTGCCGCTTTGTCAGCGGATGCTGCTCCTGCCGCTCCTGCCGAACACGAACGAACGCGCACGAGCACGAACGAACAGGGAGCACAACGTGAACAAGTGTGGAAATTGGAATTTTTATTCAAAACAATGCCCCTGCTGCAACAGGTATGTAAATAATAATAAAACCCATTCGCACTCCAGAGCGGTAATTGAAACGCTCACGTACGACAGGAGTCGGAAAGAGCGAGAGAGAGAGAGGGAATGAAAGAGAGAGCTCCATCAGCTGGCTTTTCCAGCTCACCTTCCCAATTGGGATTCGTGAGTGGCTGGTCCGGGATGATCCTAATAAGATTAGTGCCCAACTTTACGCCTCGCTTCTGAGGGGGAGTTTCTGCCCACCTCCAACCCCCCATCAGGCGAAACAAAACCCCCCTCCGCCCACGTCTGTTGCACATTATGAGTAGTTAAATTCGATTAAACTTGCGGCGTTTTCTGCGCCAGACACCCGTGCGCCTCCTTTTCGTCCTTGCCACCACCGCCACCGCCGGGTGGGTGGCCGTTTAATTGTACTCTTTGTTGCGCAAAATAGTTGCGTGATTTAATTTCGCTCGCCTTTATATGTTTTTTAATTCACTTAAATGAGATGATTCGATTAGGACACTCGGCGGCGTAAAAAAGGCGTAGGAAAAACGAGGGAGCTCTGGATGGGTGGAACAGAAAAAACGGCTAAAGTGGTTGCATTTACAAGTTCCACACTTATATTGTATGTTTTTATCCTTAAAACGGGTTTCCTTTGTCAGTACCAAGTATTTTTTAAACTGTTACATATTTTATTATTATCTGAAAACTGAATCATGTAATATACTTGGTTAAATAAGTCAACACGTTAGAGATCTTCAGTTTAATACATATGATTTTTAACAAAAAAAAAGGACTTGAAGTGCTTTAATCATTAATATATTAGTACTAATAAGTTTATTGCAAACTAATTATTAATCAAGTATTTTTATATTTTAGTTTAAGGGAAATGTTGAATTATATTTCCTTACAAGCCAGAGACCTTTAAATCTCAGCAGTGTTACTTAGTATGACAATTATTAGCCATATTTATTTCTTGAGAGATTACTTCTGGCATCTTGGGTTTTTCTTTATCCCCCGAAAAATTAATTATCCTGCCTGACAATCCACTCCATATCAATACACATCGGAATTATGTCAGATACGGCAATTGCCCTTCACCCCCACATGCGATCCATAATGATTACAATATCCTTTATCCTGATACGCACATGCTAACCAACCCGGCCCGACCCCAGACTTGATTTAAGCGATCCTAAAGCGACTGTCAATATGTGTGACAGGTTTTTCAAGACGCCTTCCCTCGGCGGAGCACTTGGGCCCATTGTTGGCTACGCCATAGCCGCCCGTTTGTATCCTTGCCACGTCCTCCGCCTTCGCAAAAAGTTGCTCATTGTCGACTGTGACAGGAGACCCGGACCCGTCTATTGCTCATCATTCAGGCATTTGACGACAGTCGACGCACAGGGGTTGAGGAAAAGCTGCCTTGACTACGTCAATGGATGGGGGATGGCTTTCAAGGAGGCCGAGATGGAGATGGAGGCCGAGATGGGGGTCCTGTGCTGCACATCCATGGCCCGAGTTGGCTGACAATGGAGCTGCGCATTTGTTACAATGTTTACACAAATATTTAAGGATAATCCGACGATTTCAAAGGGGTTATTATGCAATTTTTCTTCTCATTTTATTGTGGCTGCCAGCAGCGGCAGCAAAATGGTTGCAGGAAAAAAATAAAAAGATCCAAATAGACCCAACTGAATAACTAAATGCAAAATGTCAATTTCGTCGTGTAAGCAGAGTCTATCCCCCTTGCTGTATTGCTCGGTACATTCATATTTATTTGCTGGTAATGTCTAAAATGCGTCTACTTCATGCCAACGTGGCGTGTACTTAATGTCCTTTCTCCCCTCGCTCGTATTATTTATATTTTTTGCATTCACTTCCATTGCGCCATTGCCCGCTGTTTAAAATGCCTATAAATAATGCGGGTACGGGGCCCAAAACGGAAAATTTGTCGGTCATAAGAAATGCTGTACATTTTATTTGCTGTGGGATGTGTGATGTCCTGCTCTGCATACATATGTCCATATCCTGCTGTGACATCGTTTCGCACAGCATTTTCTTTTATTGTCCTTTTTGCCCAGCGTCCAAGGAAGTCCAAGTGGAGTTCAGTTCAGGTCAGTCCACCAATAGCCACGGGGAGTTCTCAAAGGGATGCTTTGTGTCTAAGACAGCAGAGGTTTTCTTTGAGAGATTAATATTTTTTCGTTGCATAAATCAAATGAAATAAATCCCTACTAAAAAAATAAGACTGGACTTTTATTGTCATCATTTTTAGGATATACCTTATTAAAAAAGCCTTCTCTTATATAAAGAAACTTAGTAAAACCAGATATCTTATAGTAGATTTAAATATTTGTCGAGCATGAAGTTCTTGTATTTAATTTAAATATTTATTACTACATGTGGAGTTGAATATGCAGATATTTGTTGATACATTGTATAATTGATTCCTTAACCGGAATATTCAAAATACCCTCAATCCCTAGAAACTTAAATCAGTACCTGTTGATAGCACAAACCCCAACAACCCATAAACTTCAGTATTAATGGTGTAATTAAGTGAATACTGGGCCACTTTCCCTAAATGACCGCCTGCAAATGGCAGTTATTGGCCGGCTCAAATTTGATTTCCAGTGGGCAAATCATTGGCATTATTCAAACCCGAACTCGAGTGAATGGAATGGAATGGGGGCGGTAAATCATTGTGCTTGGGCGGTGGCGGCATTAACAGTTGGTTATGTATACTTAAGTATATGCCCCGGGCAAGCTTTGGGATGTCCAGGCCATCGTTTCCAATACTCCTCGCTTGTGATCCTTGGCAGACTATTGGAATGTCTCGACATTTCGCGCAAATGCCAAAAGTACAAGGCGGCCAAGGCGTCCTCCAACAATGCGGTGGTTCTGGTGTTGGGTGTTGGTGGCATCAGAACAGCCCCAGGACACATCATTAAAATGTCGATACCAAGCAAATCACACGCCCGCCGCCAGCGAGAAGGATAACAACCAAGAAAATATCAACCAGGGTGCGTTTTGTTGCACTGCCGCCGCGGTTGTGGATTCTGGATTCTGGATTGGGTAGTAGTGGTTGCTATTAGGGCGTAGCCCATTGCAATATGAGCCTCTGGCATTTAACAAAAACGAGTGCAAAATTCAATTGAATTTACTTCGCCAGACGTTGCACACACTACTACTACGACTACTACTACTGGGTACTGGGTACTGGTTACTGGGCTCAACTAGCATTTAATGCATTGGCAGTGCGGCATGCGTCGTTGTGGTGACCCCCTGAACTCCGCCTGATGCTGCCCTGCCCCGCCCACCATTATTGTGGTTGAGCGGATGACGAAAGGTGGCCGAGAGGGGAGGGTATCAGGAGGCCTTTTGGCCAATGGTATGAGCCACGAGCCCGAGGATGGGGCAGTGCGGCGGTGGCATATACACAATGCTGTTGCGTTATCATTAAAAGCGAACAAAAATGCGGCAAAAGAAAATAGAAGCAAACAGCAATGAGCAACAGCAGCAACATCCAGTCGGAGCAACAACAATACAAACACAAACCACAAAAGGCCAGCACCCAGTTGGAGTCGCCTCTTGTTTTCTATATCCTTGCAAAGGTTCCCAGCAACTCTGTGGAGGGTTCTGAAATGCCCATGATAAAGCAGTTTCGTCCTCACGGATCGCAGGTCGCAACCTCTGTCATCAGAACTTGTCATGAAATTAGATGTTGAAAGTTAAATATCAAAGTTGGATCTTAATTGCTTTAAAAGAAATGTATAACTGATCTATATATGTTCTTAACAATGTTAAGGGTAACTTCACCCTATACAGTTCCTAAATATATATAATATTAAGCTTCAGAGTACTTATCACTCGTCTTGATAAAGTTTACACAATTATTATTATTTAGGAACTTTGTGTTAAATCCAGGAAGGGATTATTTTGAAACATTTTAAGGATAGAATTAAGAGGTACATCATACGTCCCTAAAATATATGATTTGTTTTAAATTAGCCATAAACATATAACTCTCCATCCATAGTTCTTTTAAATATAGCATACTTATTAGGGCAGGTTCAATTAAACTTGATTATTAATAGAAAATTACGCTTATTGAAAAATTTTCTTATAATTAATAGGTACATCATTATTTTAGTATTATTGTTGAACCTTTTTAACGCCAAGCATTATTTCTTATAATTTCTAAATATATAATTATTTTAATATCTTGTTTTGTATATTTTGAGCATGAAGCATCACGCGTTCGAGGACTTTTCCCAGCATTTATGCAACTTTGTTGAGTTTTCTGTTTTTAAATAGGCCCGGAAAAGTTGTGCCTTTTCGCCTCGTGGGCTGCCTAAAAAATGTGCAGCATGCACCACCATTTGGCAGGATCTAGAGGAGGAGGAGCTGGAGTAGCACCACCCACCACCAGCACCACCACCACCAGAAACAGATCCACAGATCCAGCGGTGGCAGATAATACAGTGCGGAAAAAGCGCGTGTTTTATTTCCACTTAGCACTCATACAAACGTGCATGTATTGAATGCCTGTTGACGGCTCCTTGGCCCCTTCCACGCCCCCTTTTGGGGGGCCGCCCACTTGTGACGGCACACCCACCATTACCGCCCGCCGCCGCCCCCAGAGAAACAATAACAACGGCAACAAAGCGCCGAGAATCGGAAATGTTGCCGTTGAAACTGAAATGTCGCTACGCTTCTCTCGTTTGTTTGCCGAAAGGGGGCTCTGCAGGGGGAGGAGGGGCTGGCTACGCCCATGTAAAGGCTGCTGCTGTCAGTGACTTGCCTGAATTACGATATTGTTATTATTAAATGGATGGGCTGCATGCGAAAGGAAGCTGCAACTGCGACTGACTCCGCTGAAAAGGAGGGGATGGAGGAGGAGGAGGTCCTGCAGCCTGGGAAGACGTCTGCATGCGCTTTGATAGTTGAGTTTTGATCCAGAAAGGCATTTAATGTCTTGTTTTCATATTGCACAAAACAGAGGACACAAAAACAAGCGCGCACATGCAGTTATGTAAATATGATGGCGACACATCGCATCCTCCTCAAAGCTGATGAAATGGCACTCCTCACTCGAACATGCTCGAAACTCAATTTAATTTGCCCAGCCATTGGCATTTAATGAAATGCACAGCACAGCACAGCATCAGTACAGCACAAAACACAAACAAGGCAGCAGCTGCTGAACTGAACTGAACGAGGACGTGGGAGGAGGATCAGGATTCAGGATTCAGGATGCAGGATATGTAGGCGCAGCAATTACGTGCCACTGGATTGGAACCCAACGCCAGCACTGCTTGCTGTCCTGCAGGCATTTGCATCTTATCGAATCCCCAAGCCCATCCACCCACCGAATCCTCCTCCAGCCTGCGGACAAAGTTCGAAGTCGAAGAGGTCTCGACACCGGTGAATGCTTTTTAATTTACAAACATTAAACGCCGTCATTGCATTCTAGAGAAATCCACTTAGTTGAACTTTTACAACAGATCGTAAAAAACTTATAAGTATACATAAAAGGGGTGCCCAGAATGGTGCTCAATAGAAGAGTGCAGACTTTACACGATTTCTTTAAATCTTTGAATACAAATTTTGGTTCCCTACTGAAACCATTTCTAAACCATGATTCATATAACGATTATAATGATTGTTTAGTAGTGAAAAGCGGTGTTAAGTAAGGAACTGAAATCTTTAAATTGGGTAAATTGTTAAATTAAACTCTTAATATAAAGAAAAGTAGAGTATATTTTTTAGAACAATATTTAAAAGCTAATCACACGAAGAATAATTAAATTCTTTGAAATTCTTACATTTTGTAACGAAAGCTATCCAAGTGACACATAAATTCCTGACTTAACCTCGTAATTTGCCAATAGTTTGTGGGAAATAAAAACTTTGTCGTAAATTGAGTTGCATTTACTTGATTTCCCCTTTGGCAGTCCACCAATCGTTTTGCCCTCCCTGCACCCCTCAATTTATAGATCAGAACTCTATAAATTTTGCATCCCAAATCCTTTCAGGGGATTTAAACACTCGCCACGTAATATGCAAACACTCTATTACCGCTGGCAAATTCAAATGCATTCGGCCATAACTCTTATCCTTTATGGACTGCCAACCCACTCCTGCCCGCCCTGCGATTCCGTTTTTCGCCCACAAGTTGGCAACATGTAATCGGCCATAAAAAATTACAACTGTGCATTAACCTCTGGCTGCGGTCACTGGGAAATCGGGGAAAAGGGCAGAGGGCAGAGGGAAATCGAAACAAATCGAATGAAGTGGCCCTTTGGAGGGGAGTGAAAAAGAGGGCAGGAAGGAATGGCGACGACAAGGACAACGTCGTTATTGAACGCTTATCACTACATGCCATCAAATTTTAATGCCGAAAACCCTTTGGACCAGAGAAAAAAGGATGAAAAACAGGAGCAGGACATCTAATAAGTGTTGTAAGCGATGCAAACATAATAATTTGTATGACTTCTGAAAGCAGAAACTTGTAATTTTACAGAGGCTATGGCCCCGGAAACGCTTTTCATCTCCCCCCCCTCAAAGCCACCATACCACATCATGTGTGAGTATATCCGCTAAAATGCAGGCCAGGCCGAGGACCAGAGGGCCCAGGACGAAGTCCCAGAACCAAAAGGCAGCCAAGGCAAATCGCTTGCCAAAAATGAAATGCAAGAAAAGCCCAAGAAAATGGCCAACAACCAGGGTAAAGGAGAAACGAAGGAGGAACACAAAAGCCAAGTCGAATGGACATGGGATAAATAACTACTGAGTTATGGGTGGAACGGCTCCTTGGCCTGGCCCCTCTTGGCTGACATCTTCGGATCGAACGCAGAGAGATGCCGAATATCTCCATGTAGCCATCAGCTGGCAGAGAGTGGATGTGGATGGGGAAGGAACTCGGACACAGCAATGCCATTGAATCAAATTTTGCAAATCCTCGACAGCAAAGGACAAGTGGCAGGCGAAGCAGCCGAAACTGAAACAGGAGCTTCGATTTAGGGGAGATGATCAGAGGAGGTGTGGGGCTCAACGAATAGAGCAGTCAATAGGCCAGGGTGCTATCTATGCGTCAACGGGTGGTTAAGATTTTTTGTCGTATTCAATTTCGTTGTTTATGGGCCCTTTTTCCGGGGAAAGAAAGTTCATATTGGCCGGGTATCGCTGCTTGATTGAGCTATTCCCATTGTAAAGCGAGAATTTGGCACTTACGTGTTGGCTGTTGATTTTACTTTACCTCAGTTCTTCCACATTCGATTTCCCTCTTTTAAAAACACCTTTAATACAAATTCTTGGAACGCTGAGATTCAAGATATTCTTTACATCTCGAAATTTGTAAATTACTAAAGCTATTGGATCTTACTTAAATTTTTCAAGATATCCATCCTACTATTAAGATCTTGGCTACCATTCGATCCTGAAAAAGATCCATGTGATAATTTTTATTTTTAAGTCGATATACCATATAAAAAGTTAAGATTGTTTAATCAAGATTTTGTATATAATCCAAAAACATTTATAACTTTATTTACTTATTTAGTCTATTTACGGAATGATTCTATTTATTTAATTTAAAAATCATAATGATTGGTTATAAATCATATTTTTTAACATATTCATCCCTTATAAATGATCTTTGCTACCATCTGGTCCTAAAAAAGAGCATCCCTGTTTCCCTTTAAGGGCGGTGGCCTTATATTCTCGTTAGTCTCTCTGACGCCTTTTCTATTTCCGCCAGCGAAAGCTTTTAGCGTCTTACTGGTGTTTTTTGACGACGGATTCCGGGGGAGGATGCGGTTGCGGATGAGAATGCGGATGCGGACGCGGCCTCGGCATTACAAAATAGCTTGAAGACTATTTGTAATTTGCATTCATTGACGCCGCTTTTTTTATCGCCTGCCACAAGTTGTAACTGTGGGCGGGCGGTGCGACGTATGTAGGCTAGAAACAAAGTCTGAAATCCCCCACAAAAGCACACATGTGGGCCACAATGACGCCTCTAAACGGAGCCGAGTTGTCCGGCACATCCTCTATTTTCGCATCCTGGCAGAGGAGGAGGATGTGTGATTGCCGTGCGTGTGTTCGGATGTTCGTGCCATTTCCGACTTTGCACGTACCTTCATCAAGTTGTCATTCAATTTTTAAATCCATAGCAAGTTTTGTACTTAACATAGTTGTGACATCTTGACAAAGACCAAGGAAGCCGTCGACTGTCGCTCCGTTCCCCGGCATTCAAAACTTGCCAGCGGATGGAAGTTCTTTTCGTTGTTCCCCTCGACTTTTCAGTCCTTTATGTGGGCGGTAGATCTTTAACTTGTGGCCCCAACTGTTTACTGGATCCATTTGGGCCAGGAAAATCGCATCATTTCCACTCGCTGAACAAGTGAGCAAATGAGTTTTTGCAAGTTAATTTAAGTTTTTATGGAATTCTTTGTCTAAAACACAGATCATGTGATAAAATATTGTCATGGTTGATCATATGATTCCATAAAGATTTTTCAGATATTCCAAGTATTTATGAGTATAACATTATCTATAGTAACATAAGAAAGGTGCCTTTCTTGCACTCAAATATATCTCCCCGAAACACCATTACCATTTTGCTAACCCACTGACTTGCACAGACCATCAAGGACTCGTCCAGAATCTCTCTCGTGAATCCTTTTTAGGTAACTGGAACAACTCGTTGGCACCCACTCATCAGCTGACCATTGACCGTCGCCCATCGACAGTGACTTGTTGCCTTGGCTTTGGCACATTTCGCTTCATCCTCAGTCCTCGTCCTCGTCCTCGTCCTCGTCATCCATCCCACATAGACACACTTCATCCTCCTCCTCCTGCTCCTCTCATTTCCGATTGCTGTCACTCGTCTCGATTCGTTGGCTTTCGTTCCGTTTCGTGGGCTGCATTAATCCGGCGTAATGAGTTGTACGCCATTTTGCGCTAAATTGTTTGGTGAGTGCCTGATAACAATATTTGCACTAATTTGGCATTTTTAAGTGTGCTCCACTGACACTTGATGCGCTTTTAATTGCGCCCAGGCGCTCGAGAGTGCTTCAGAGGAGAGCGAGGAAGATTCAGAGGAAAGTGCGACACAAGGGTCGGCTGCTGTGGGTGCTGTCGGTACTGGAAAATGGGCGAAAAGTGGGTGCGGAAAACTGGGGGAGTGGTGTGGTGGTGCTGGTGGAATTGTCTCCTTGTGGCTGTACTCGTGCGGTTGCCACGTTGTTGCCTGGCATGTGGCAAGAAATGTGAAAGATAAACGATTCATTAGTTGCTACCGTTGGGCGGCGGGATGGGCAGGAACTCTAGAACTCCCCCTTAAACACCCATGAAACACCTTAAACAGAATAGTAGACACAGGGACAATAAAAGTTTCACCAACTGTCGCCCGTTTTTATTACGATTGCAGTTCAAATCTCTTGCCTGATGTCATCGTTTTAAAAACCCCTCTAACTCTTTCTCTTTTTATATTTCCAGTACGACACTCCTGATTGCTCCGGTTCTGGTGGCAACATGCGAGCTCTGAGCGGAGGCTCCACCTCGGAGCTGTTGCAGAAACACTCGATCAGCTCCTACCTGGATCACCATCAGCAGCAGCAACAGCAGCATCAGCTGCAACTGCAGCACCACCAACAGCAGCAACTGCAACACAATCTGCTGGACAGATGCAACGACGATGGATTGATATCCTTCATTAACGGTGAGCATAGGGATCTTAAGAGTTGTGTGGAAAAATCCTAATTTATAAAACATATTAAGAAGGATCTAAAGAATTCGCGATTTGCAGAAGTAAAACAAGAGCTATTGAAAATGCTCTAAAGAATTTGCGTTGTGCAGTAAAAAATCAAGGGAAATGTTTAAAGCAGTTCGGTAAAAAAATACTGAATAAATATGGAATACATATTTAGTCCAACACATGTAGACTAAGTAAATACTAGATTATCCTTTTACTTTTTTGTCAAAGTCATTGGACGCAGGAAATGTCAGAGCCCCACAGAAAACATTTCAATAGTTTTTTACTTTTAGAAGTCGGCACACATAATTCGTAGACACTGTCATCATTATTATTAAGTTAATTTAATCATACACTTTTTTTTGCAAGTCGGACTGCCGTACAGTGGTCCGCAGTAAAAAAATTCGCATTTTCATTTCGAATTAAAATTGTCACTACTGCAGCAGCAAGAAGCGAATATTAAATTTTACAGTACCAATCGAAATTTTAAATATAATAGTCCTCAAAATTGACTTCCGTCCAATAAGTAAGCAACTGACACAAAAGCGGTAGTCGAAGTCGAAGGCCAGGATTCCATCAGGATTAGCAGCACAGCACACCCATGTTGGGAGTGAAGAAGCCATATATGGGAAAGTCGACGATGTCGATATCGCAGGACTCGTTTGAATTTGGCAACAACAGCGATGTGAGCTCCACCAGCAGCGACACAAGCAAAGGAAGCTCCAAGGACCTTGGCAGCCTGACTGCTGGCGACGGAGCCCAGAACTTGGCCCAAGACGGCAATACGACCAACAGCAATGGCCACAGCAACATGGACAACACAAACAGCAACTGCAGTACGCTTAATTTATTAGCAGTTTTGGTCGAATATTTGCAAAGTGCTTGAGGGGCAATAGTTTTGATTTATCGAGGGCTGGGCAAACTTTACGATAATTGTTGACATTGTACTTACCCCTCGACCATCTCTCTCTTTTTCTGTCTGCAGATCCAATCACACTGAACGATCTACTTGGCCTGTGCGGCGGAGGCAGCAGTTCCAATGGAGTGGTCGGTATTGGCCAGAGCCCCTCAACTTTGGTAGGAGGAGGAGGAAGTGGAAGCGGAGGAGCACCAGGAGTTGCAGCAAGCGGTGCTGCAACAACGGGAGTAGGAGGAGCCGGATCTGGAGGAGCAATACCACCTGGGCCAGGAGTCGGATCGGGCCAGGGAGGAGGAGTCGTGGGACCAACCACCGCCACGGGCAACCCATCCGCCAGCTTCGGTGGCAACGGCAGCGGCAGCGACGTCAATAATCTGCTGCTCGCCAGTGCGGCCGCAGCCGCTGCTGCTGCCGCTGCCGCCGGTGATGGCGTCCAACTGTCCGCCAATGCGGCGGTCTACGCTCCACTGACGCCCAGCTCGACCCAGTCGTCGGCCTCGCCGGGCACCAAGTCCAGTTTTGACTACTTCCAGGTAAGGCGGCCAGGTGTCGTTTTTTTCGGGGGGCAACTCCCCGCCCGGTTGATGCCTGCCCTCGGATTGTGACCTTCTACTTCTCTCTAAATGCACTCAATTTGCACCGAATTCTCGTAACTTTTTGCTTGTACTCGTATCTATCCCCAAAAATCGAACCGTACTTCTCGCACGGTGACCTTAACCGTCTTATGATTTTCTAACTCTTCCCCTCTGTCTCTGTCTTTCTGTGTTGAAGAGTGGGTCGAAAAATTATGATTGGTTTAATGTGTATCCAGAAATAATGATAATAATGAAATTAAATGTTAATTTTTTATAATCAGCAAAAAAATAATCTAGACTTGGTTATACTTACATTTAATATAAAAATAGGTACTAACTAAATAGGTGTTAAAAATGAATAATAAAATAAATTCATTCTGTTAAGTTACTTAGAAACTATAGCAATGTATTTACTTTGTAAATTTTAGGGATTGTCTTGATATCACAAAATGTATATCCGTGAAAATAAAATAATTATTATTAGGTATTTTTTTCATCTGTAAAATATTTTTAAAAATTGTCGACCCACTCTGGTTGCTATGTTTAAAATATACTTGCAGAGGTTGAAGCATGCGAGATCTCTTAACTACCAAATTCGTTTTTTAGGAACTCTGCAAGGGTATTGCAACTTCGTTTTAGCGAAGTTATCTGTTGTCGTTACCGTTTCCTTTCCTCATTTTAATTTATTTGTTCGTTTCCATTCTTTCTTTCTTTTTGGGTGAATTGGCGAACTTAGTTTGAAAATGTTGCACAAAGTAACCCACTTAAGGCTTTCCAAAGAACAAACATCAGCTTCGATTGCTCTGCACCCTTATCGCCAAGTACGCCTACATCTATTTACAATCGCTCCTTTCACAGTTCACCTTTAGTCAGGTAATAACCGAATTATGATAATATGTGGCACGTGGCTCCATTATTTAAGCGCTTTGACTAATCGAGCCCCATTTGACCCTTGCAGCGATAGCAGTAACTCCTCAAGCGGCAACGGCCTCTCCATGGACTCGATCAACATGCTCTACCACCAGCAGCAGCAGCCCCAGCAGCAAGGATACACTAACCTAGAGTCTTCCATGGGCAGCGGTTTGGGACTCAGCCTTGCAAACGCTTCCACGCGCTCAAACTCACCAGAGAGCCAGAACAGCGGCCAGTCGATGAACGAGCCGAACCTACTAGACATGATTGTAAGTCTTTCGAATGTACCTACACTCAAAAAAGTATTCGCCACGAAAAAATTGCTGAATTGGCGACGGATTACTTCTGTATCTTTTCGGTAGATAGTGATACTTTTTTTCAGAACGAACTTATTACTTATATAGATTTTTGGGTAGAAAAGGCACTCTGGATTTTTCCATCATTTATAAAAAAATATTCGAACACGTAGGATTTTTTTACAATAAATATTTCAAGTTTTTTCTTCAAAATTGCAGTAATTATATATTTATATAATGGCTAAAGTTTTATCTGGGGTAAGGTAAAATGCTAACTACACGATGCATTTTTATATTACGAGTTGAAATATCCTAAAACATCTGTTACTTTATCTTATATCTCATCTTTCAGAATCTGCTGTCTGTGAATAGCAACAAACTAGCCTCCATGCAGCAGCAGCAGCAGCAACATCACCACCAACAACAGCAACAGCATCAGCAGCAACAGCAGCAGCAGCAACATCAGCTGCAGCAGCAGTACGCCAACCTGAACAGGACCTATGAGCAGCAGATGGCCGCCAATGGAGGTGGCCAACAGCACGGCTTCGAACACAACGGCGTGGGAGTGGCCAGCGGAAGCAACGACAACTGCCTCAGCCAGTACACCCTGGAAAACCTCGCCAGCGTGGACATGGAGCTGGCCAAACTGCAAAATCTGCAGCGCATCAATACGTTGAAGCTACTGCAGGCCCAAACGCAGCAGATGCCTCTGATCAATCAGCTGTTGCAGAGCTATGCCGGCAGCACGATGAGCAGCGTCCCGGGAACCAATCTCGGTAGCTTGATGAGTACGGGCGGAGCGTCCATCGTGTCGGATATGACGGGAAACGGTGGTGGCAACGGCACCACCAACGATGGCCACCTGGATCGCGTGGCAAAGTTCCATAGGAGCTCAGCGGCCCTGTGCGATGCCACCTGCACCTGGAGCGGTCAGCTGCCGCCACGTTCGCACCGTATGCTCAACTATTCTCCCAAGGTCTTCCTCGGCGGCATTCCGTGGGACATTAGTGAGCAGTCGCTCATCCAGATCTTCAAGCCATTTGGATCCATCAAGTAAGAGAGTATACACTGGTTAAACTACTTTTCGGTAACACTAAATATTGATTTAGAGTGGAGTGGCCCGGCAAGGAGCAGCAGGCTGCGCAGCCCAAGGGCTATGTTTACATCATCTTTGAATCGGACAAGCAGGTTAAGGCCTTACTCTCGGCCTGTGTGGTCCAGGTGGATGACTCGCAAAGTGGCAGTAACTACTTCTTCAAAATCTCTTCACGCCGCATCAAGTCCAAGGATGTTAGTTCCGAGTTTTCAACTAAATTAGGCTCCCTTAAATTTGACTCCAATCGTTTCCAGGTTGAGGTCATTCCCTGGATAATTGCCGACTCTAATTTTGTGCGCTCAAGCTCCCAGAAACTAGACCCCACGAAGACCGTTTTTGTGGGCGCCCTGCACGGCAAACTGACTGCTGAGGGCTTGGGAAAAATCATGGACGATCTTTTCGACGGTGTCCTGTATGCCGGCATTGATACGGACAAGTACAAGTACCCAATCGGATCGGGACGAGTGACCTTTAGCAACTTCCGCTCCTACATGAAAGCTGTCTCTGCCGCCTTCATCGAGATAAGGACGACCAAGTTCACCAAGAAGGTGCAGGTGGATCCGTACCTGGAAGACGCTTTATGCTCTATATGCGGGGTGCAACACGGTCCCTACTATTGTCGGGAATTGTCATGTTTCCGGTGAGTTTGATAGTGAAAATGTAGAAATTTCAGATAATAAGGTTATACTTTTTATAGGTACTTCTGCCGCAGCTGCTGGCAATGGCAGCACAGCTGCGATATCGTGAAGAACCACAAGCCCTTGACACGCAACTCCAAGTCGCAGAGCCTGGTTGGCATCGGACCATCCTCGTCGACTGTTTCGTTGGCCTCCTCTAGCCACAGCATCAATGGCGACAACAAGATGGGGCACAGCCAGCCACATCAGCAGCAGCAGAAACATCATCATCAGCTCGACCAGCAGTCGCGGCAGCACAATCTCAATCTGATGGGCAACGCGGGAGCTGCCAATGCCGCTGCCGCCACATCGATGTACACATTCCAACAGCATCAGCAGCGACAGCTTCAGAAGCAGCATTTGCAACATCGTCAGCAGCAGCATCAGGCGATTTAGACTGCTACGGCTTTTATCCGCACCGTTTTAACGGATATTTCCGCACTTTACACAGTGCGGAATTTTGGACTTTTAGGCAAAGTAGAAGAAATGGCGCAGACGTTTTCGCAGACAGTTTCTTGCAGCCGAGATGGAGACCCAGGCTCATCATCGTCATTATCATTGTAAACACAGTTTTATTGATGTGTATATTAGATCGGTACGATGTGAAGCTTACACGTTGAATTTCCTTTAAGGTAATTAGTGTTAGTCGACTCCCCCACACCGAACACCCTCGAATCGAAACAAAAGACCCCCCATTCATACTATTTTTTGATAATCATGCTTACATATCAGCATTTGGAGCTGGCATTCGAATGCTAAACGATACATGAAATGAGCAATTTCATTTACTCATTACCCCTCATCAACATACTACTCAAGTTACTTTTTGGCTAAGAAAGCAGTTAATAATTTCTAATTTGTACATGTCTAATTTTAAGCGAACGAAACTGCGCGGCCAATGGCGGTGAACTGGATGAGTCTCGTCCAATTTTCCGCGCAGAGAGGTTAGAATAACCATTTTTGTTATGTTTTGCGCTATTACTGAGAAATTTTATGTAGTTTCTTTTTACATAGCCAAGCCCCCAGACCCGAGTTATTATGATCATTTGATTTGGATTGTCCGTTAAGCGTTTATCAGGGAATTTCAATTTTTAGGAAAACATTTTAAAAATTGTAAATTCGTTTAACTCACCAGTCCCCCCTTTTTGTTACTCATTGAATTGTTACACACCTGAGTTATTATTATATATATATACTGTTTAGTTTTTTTTTGTTTTGGATTAGCTCTAAGCATTATCCTTGTGAACATTAACGCGATGCCTGATTGATTGTTGAACTTTGTTTTAAGGAATTATCTTTCTTTGGCTTTTTTGGCTGTTCCAGTTTTAGAGCTCATCGGCAATAAGGATATAATTTATGTCTACTTATTATTTTTCATGTATTTTGAGAAAGGATCTCTCCAGCGCTTATCTATCTAGAATACACCAATGTACGCATAGAAAACTAATACATATTGTACATTACAAGGCTTTATATGATTTTGTAAACCTACCAAGAATAGGGATAATAACCCAAAACCAAATTGATCACTAAAAGAAGAATAACGAACATTCACACGTATATTCACCAACCAAACAAATATACAAAATTGCTTTTGAATTCGCCTTGTTTTCATTTGGCAACTCTTAATCCAAGCTTAACCCAACTAAACACTAACCTGCGCTTCCCATGCTAATTGTTACTCTTAAGAATGCGAACGAAGTTAAGAAACTTAGTCTAATATCAAAAGTTAAATTCAAACGAATTTAAGCATAAAAACAATCAAATTACTTTACCGAGCAACTGAAATACTCCAAAAAAAAACCAAAAGCAACCAATGTAATCGAGTAGTTCAGACTTTACGAAACCAACGCTGCGGGTGTTTTGTGACATTTTATCGCATTACTACTCTCTAGGCATTAATTGTTTTTAGCATTATCTCGATCATACAGACATACACACACGCATTACGATGAACCTACAGGGATTTTATGGTAGTCTTCGAAAGAAACAAATATGAAACCAAGTAATTATAACAATAAATGAAGGACGACGAGAGGTTAGAAGAGAAGGCTAGACAGCTGCAGACTAGTTGAATTGTTTAGTTTTTAATATAGATTTGCGAGGACAAGCAATTTTTAATTAACCAAGATGGGAACTGTGGAGGGATTGCGGGTCTAGGGTAAACAAGGATGCCTCTTAGTGTAACGGTTTCTGTTGTAGCGCCTACCTAGCTTAGTTTTCTTTGGCCAGGGCCAGATGATCCCCGGGAGACTCTGGCCAGAAGCTGGCCGGTGTATAAGTAGCAATAAACCCAGGCCCACGAATGCCGGAAAAGTGCATTGTTACTAACCATTTACCTAGCTATACTCACATACATATTGCCTTCGATTAGGAGAGAGGAGAACCCAAGCAAATCACCCACTTAAATCGCTTTAATGCCAACCACAAATCAAAAAGCTTATTGACTACTTTTAATGCAATTAACGTATTGTATATTCCACATCCTTTGCCTACCAAGCGAAAGCAGTCGGGAATTAAGTATAGAAAATAGATTGTAAATGGATATCAGGGGTCGCGGAGCATAACTGTACAGATATACAGATAAAATGGTGCTTTAGCTGAATTATTAGTAATCGTAAGACTTACCTTTATAGGAAAAAACCTAAATGCTCCAACTGCAACAACAAGAAAATACCTTATTTCACTTCACTCATTGGACGGATTCACGGGAGAAATGTTAGGGGACGTATCTTTTTTAAATTAATTTTTTAGCCTTAATAACTATTAGGTGGCTGAGAAGGCAGTACCATTATTTTATTATAAAACCAGCAAAATGTTTAAGATCTATTGGAAACAAAAAGTGTTTTTAGCTCGCAAAAATCAAGCTCACATTTCACATACACGTACACTAAAATACCTACACTAGCACACAAATATACAACTACATGCATACATATTCGTAAACAATTTTAAATAACTATAAAATTTACCATATTTTTATTAACCAACGGATCAAATGAAGAAATGCCCAGGCAGGGCGACTTTTAAATGGAACTTTTTAAGGCTATTTCGGCAAAACTCAATTGGCGACTCAATCTCGATCGTATGTTACACAGTTTTACTTTAACGTTTTTAACGCTTTTACAAGCTTAAGAACCAAACAGAACGTGAATTTTAAATTAACACTCAAATGTGTGAAGCAAACAGTTTTAAACTTTCCACACTGGCTTTTCAATTTATTTAAAACGACCTTTTTATTTCCTATCAAAATTGAATAAAACCAAAAGCAAGTTAGGGAGATTAAACAAATGTATCAAAGATTAAATCCCATATATGAAGAGACAAAATAAAGTTTAAACGAAATGTAAAGGAACCAAAATCGAACGCTTCCCACGCAAAACCGATAATATTAAATTTTAGCAAAGTAAAAAACCAAAAATGGAACATTAAGAAAATATGCAAAGCGTAATTAGGCAACAATATAACATAATTAACAATCCGAAATACATATAAATAAAACAAAATAAACATATTTTACTGACGCAAGTCATCCGATTATCTATACGTCTACTTCTAAGCCATTCTACACTATACAGAGTAATTATTTTTAAACTCAGCTGAGGTGCGAATCAATGAGGAAGTTCTATCGAAGGAATATCTTTACTTATGCCGATATCTCTACCACGCATTAACTAACCTATACTGTACTCTAAACTAACTCCTACTCGTATTCGAAACCCTATACCACATATTTTTACTATCGTATTACTGATTAAACTGTCAACTGTATTCAAAGACACAAGCGAACATGTGAGACACATTTTGGGGGAACATTAGCAAGAACTTTGCAAATTGAATTTTAAACCAACAATATTTGCTCGGCAAATGTGTTAAAGTTAAGCGTAAGCCTAGCGAATAAGTATAAGAATGCAATAAGAACGGTTTTTAAAAAGACTATTATACAACCTATATATACACCAAGGAATATATAAAAATAATTCAGAACGGAATACTAAGCTTTTAATGCAATAATCAAATACCATATATATACATACATGTACATATACAGTGGCGGAAAAGAGTTTAGCGCACTCGAGAGTTTTGCTCTTGAATTTAATATTAATTGAGTACACGAACCTTCTTTTTTGATTGGAAATATTTTGAACCTATTAAGTGAAAAAGGTAGAAAATAAGTGTATGTGCCAAATTATTGACCTAATTGTTTCCAACCTGATAAAAATAGAAATCTAGTCCTTCATTAAAAAACAGGGACTGAAAATAATGATTATTGATCTGTTTTTGGAATCAAAAAATCAACCACTTAGGATCGACACACGCGGAAAAGGAAAATACCATAGTGATTCTTTTGGATTGCCTATCCATTTTCATCATGATTTTAAAATTTGTGATTTTTATAATATTCCTCAAAAACACTTTATATTACGAAACTCAAAAATAATGATTTTTTCTGAGTTTTAAGTAAAAATAATTACGGTCCCTGTTAAAAAAAAACAAAAATGTATTTTAGTTTCAAAGCACTACGTCAGTGCTCTAAACTGTTGGCCACCACTGTACATATATTTTAATAATTACTTGCGGGGCAAAGGGGTTTCTTCGAAGTCCCCAATTGAGTTAGAGCCCCGAATTCGTATACTGTTATAACAGAAGATGAGATAAAGGATGATTAGAAGAATATTTAGTAACGGGCGCAGCGCTTCCTTCAATAAAAGGAGGTAGTCTGTGACCCAACTAATTGATTTTCCCACCTTATATAGGAATATAAACAAAATTACTGCAGTGCCATTTTAAATAGCTTCCGATAAGAATAAATATATACATAAATACCTAGTACAGTTGGTCCTTGGTTTTCAAGCCCCCCACAGAAGGCCTAACTTCTTTACAAGAAACCGTAGCCGATGTTCAGGGGATTTCCGGATATATCGAGAGCACCCATAAATGGGACGGACATACAGTTTTACTGTAGAAAAAAGTTAGAACCTGGATTGGAAGGCTTTAAACTTCGGACGCTGATCATGCAATATAATACAAATATAAATATATACCTATTTATGTACTAATAATTAATATATATTGTTATGAGCAAGAGTTCAAATTGCATTATGGTTATAAAGAACACAGATACACACACAACTACAAAAGCAAATGGAACAAAGTTGAACATATTTTGAATGCATGAACATTTTTTGGGAACTTTTTGAGGCTTTTTTTGTAAATGGAGCGAGAAACTTCAATCGAATATGCAATGAAAAAGGAATAGGAGATGGAGATATTTAAAATAATATTAATAACAATAATTAAAGTATATAACTCATGTAGCTAGGTATATTATCGAAAATTAACAAATCCCAAAAAATATCTTTATCAAAATGACGGGAATTTTAATGAACTCCGTTGCATAAACAGCAAACATAAGGGCCATAATAAAACGATAGACAACTTCATTCATACTTCGTACATCTAAAGAGCTTACTTATGGAAGCAGTCAAGCAGAACAAACTAAAAAAGATTATAACTAGTAACTGTTAATATTTACGCGCTTGCGGCACAGACAAGCAAATAAATTATGTACAATGGAAATATATTTACTAACGAATGTTATTTTTAACCAAAACCAAAGCTCAGATATTGGGAACAGCCCAAGCAGCTGATCAGGTCCCTCATGTAATCTATAAATCCAAATATTTAAATTGAAACCATGCATAACAAGTATAATATCAGACATATGAGTATTTTAAATATGCCTAAGAAACATTGTATACAATGACTGCTAAACCGACAAATCGTTCGCGTGAACAACCAATAATATGAATAACTCTGGTAAAGTACCCTCGCCAGAGGTCTGACAATATATAGGAGCGGGAGCCTGTACTTTAAGTTAAATCCATTTTGATGGCTACGAAGGGCAAACACAAAAATAAACTGAACTACATGTATCGGAATCTAACAGAACACAATAAAAGAAGTAACAGATAATAAAGGACACACAGACCAAAAACTCTTCTTGTTTTTTGTATAATTATTCAGCGTGTATTTTGTGCTTTTTTAAGGATCCTTACTGACTAAACACCTGCGAGTGCCGTACAAAAAACGCAACGTACAAAAAGGGTTATCGACTAGCTTAAAAACTCTGATCAACAAATACGAGTACACAGATTGCAAACACGAAGGCGACGCGACTACTTGTTCAGTTTTCTCTTGGCAAAGATCTGGTAGATGCCTAGACCGGCGGATAGAGTGCCAATAGCCCCCACCTGGAGGGTGGACAGCTTGCCGCCCCACAAATATCCCTTGGGCAGCGTACTGACGGCGTGTACGAAGTCGAGGGAGATCCGAACGATGGACACCATCTCCAGGCGGTGCTTGGTGATGGTTTTGACATCCAAGCTGGCAATTCAGAAGGTTTGTAAGTTGTCGTTTATAGAGGTATATTTCGCTACTCACTCTTTAATGTTGTTGGTGCGATTTAGTTTGTCCTGATTTAAAGAAAAATTCCGCATTGTTCTGGAAAAAATTTTTAAATATTCAATAATCAACACTCAAACTCATTGTAAAAGCAAATATCTTGAGATTACCCTGGATTACTTACCTCATAAGGTTAAGGTACACCGAGAGAACCCAGAATATGGAGTTGACATTATCCCAACTATCCGCATTCTTGACGTCCACAATCTTGTGCTCAGCCAGCCAGCAGACCTTTTCGATGGGATAATACAACAGATCGACGATGTTCGCCGTCACTCCCAGCACTGCCATTATGCGATCGGGTTCATTTTCGCCCAAACCATACTCCAATGCATATTGGATCATGGGTATATCATCTATAAGGCGCAGGGTGGCTCTCGCACCCGAGATTTTTGAGCTGGCGGTGGCGTAGCGCTTAGCAAGATCCGGATTCCGCTTGGCATGATAGCCGGCCACCAGCTTGGCACTATAGCACAGTGCCTTCATCACCTGGAAAAAATAAAAAAATCGGGTATTAAATTTCATATATACTCGATGTCGTAATTTTAACAGGTTCTGCGCATTTTCCTGAGCCGAGTGTTTATTTTATCACGAGAGTTTGCATCTCTGTTTACCTTTACCTGACCCCAATCTCCAGTCACCCCTGCAATTTGTGAAATTGCTTGGTTGTCACAAACAGATAAAATACTATCAGTGATAAAAAGAACACAGCAAACGCCACAATCATCTCGTTGAATGGCTGACAGTGGAGTGCTCCTGGTGGTCCTACTGCCAGGATGGGCTACGGGTGGTTTCGTTGTTTACCCATTAGTATTTGAATTTGTTTGTTTTGTCATCAATGAATTATTTATGCAATGAAGTTTACTAACTTCCATAGAGGAAGTTTATTTGCTCTTCCGGTTATTCAAAATTCTGAACTTTATGTTTATTATTAACTCGTTAAATTCCTTATAGCCGCAATAAGAAGTATATTTGAGACCATAATAACAGAGCTTTAGTAACAGAACTTTAAATAAATATTAAACATATACAAATACCATAAATGTCTAAAATTATTGCAACTATGGATTAGTCTTTTACCTTTTTGGGTGTTTATTATAAGAGATTGACAATTACACCTCATAGTATCTTCTGGATTGATGGATAACATTGCAGAAAAACAGAAAATGAAGTCTAGAAATACCGATCAAAATACATGGATGGAATTTCTTTTCTTCCCTAACATAACATCATTCCTTAAACACCCCCATTAAGGGTACAAAAACTAGCGGTGGTTAAAGGGGGTGTTTCCAAGTGCATTGCGTGTTTCCAGTTGGGTATACCAAACAAACCTTTCGTTCATAACGTATTATCCTCTTTATCTGGGAACGGGTTAAGGGTTTGCCGGCTATAGTATTCAGCATTATCTTAACTCGATCGCTGCCAAATCGGAACTGATAAGCAAGAAGCGAAACACATAATCCATTGCGAAAACGAAAGAAGTAAGACAAGGTCCAAACGGTCGATGCTTCCTCGTTGAAGACCCAAGACCCCCAATCCAATGCCATCTACAACAACACCGTGAAAACCTGTTGATTGACTTTCGATTTCAACCGAGCCCCTCTATGGACCAGTTCATAGCGAAACCCGTCAATATGCCACGATGCGATTTTTAAATTTGATCATTTTCGGAAAAACACTCGATAAAAACGTAAATAAACAGGTGTGCGGCTAATTATTTGGAAATTTACTTGGCGAATTGGGCCGTGGTTTTATGCTTTACCTTATCTCGTCCCCCATAGGAATCGATAATATCACAGAATTCGTTCACAAACTTTGTCGTACTGCCCATTATGGCTCGTTTTGAAGACCAGGTACGGTACCCGTTTTATATCAGGCAAAAACTCAAACTGAAACCTAAGAGCGAAAACCCACAAAAAATTGTCAATTGCGGGCGGGAACCAAACTGCACAAACAGCTGACGTCCATCAGTGATGCCAACAGCTGACTGTTTTCCCAGAAAGTCCAGAAAATAGCTAAACCAAGAATCACATTACAAAATAGGTATTTTTTATATACATTTTTTTATACAATCCGATTTTAGACGAACAAAATAACACCAAAGAAAAGGTGTAACAAAATCCGAAGCATTATCTAAAAATTTTGTTTTCGAAAATATTTTAACTTTATCTATGCCAACTTTTTTGAAAGTTGTTTTGAAGCTTGTCTGTACTTTAAGTGCAATCTTTCGTCAATATGTACATATTTATTAATAATTTTTTTTATTTCTATGCTGTTTAAAAAATTGGTTCATGTCATGACTAAAATCTTTGAATTTGCCGGGTATCTCATCAGTCCTTATCATAATCCCTTGCTATGCTTTTTGCTGTGCTAATTGATAGGATTTTTGATAGGCTTATTGCTCGGCTTAGTTTTAGGCTGTTTTGTGTTTTTCTTTGTGTTTATATATTGTCCGTTTGAGTACCTAAATACCTTTTCGCATAGCCAAATTGCTAGACATTTTTAAATACGAAGGTAAAATTAAATTCATTGTTTTTGAATAAATCTGTGTTTTTGACAGTGTAGTCAACCACATTCGAAGTGTGAAAAAATGTGGCGTAAAAGTATTTTCACTTTCTGGTAACACTTATTTTGGGTAAAACTAATTTCATCGTCTGGTACCACTAAATTTAACTATTTTTTTTACCATCGAAATAGGAATTTATCGCTTTGCCAGCGGTGGAAACCCCATAACAACGAGCTCACAAGCGATTAAACGGATTAAGCCTCGCCCACTGCACCGGATTAAGCCCGTGGATACATCAAATACATCAAATTCCAGCCCTAATTGTCCACTTTCACGTGTGTGGGTGCCTGATTGTGTGCATGTGGGTACGTCTGCGCCTGTGTGTGTGCGTTGTTTTCTCACACAATTTCGCTGCAATTTAAAAAAATCAACAAAAGCGCAGTAACAGCAGCAACAACAATTAGGAAACGCATTCAATTCCGAGGTTGTTTGCATATACTAGAAAACTAAATAAACAATCGAGTTTGACGAATCGCATGCGGGGACTGGAAGGATAAACAAATCGAACCAGAGAACCTTTGATAGCTCCGAAATTTGAAGAAGGTACGTATATATACACATGTATATCTATACAACCAGATGTTATAGCCATGGGGAGCTAAATTGATTTGCAAATTACTTTGCAGGGCCACGTCGCTATCGCTTATCTACAAATAGAGCTGGTGCACTGAGAAAAATATCGCAGTAGGCCAGTCGTGTTCGATCGTCGCCTCCAAATTAGCAGCACAACTTTTCAGTTTCCCTACGGGCGGTTGTGATTTAGTTAACAAAAATTAACCAAACCAATTGGAAATATGTCCTCGTCGTCGGCGTCCGGCGGCCGGAAGCAGCCCACTGCCGTGTCGCGCATGAAGCAGGACTATATGCGCCTCAAGCGCGATCCCCTGCCCTACATCACCGCCGAGCCGCTGCCCAACAACATCCTCGAGTGGCACTACTGCGTCAAGGGGCCGGAGGACTCGCCCTACTACGGCGGCTACTACCACGGCACCCTGCTCTTCCCGCGCGAGTTCCCCTTCAAGCCGCCCTCCATCTACATGCTGACACCCAACGGACGCTTCAAGACCAACACCAGGCTGTGCTTGAGCATATCAGGTATGAGGATGGATCTAGGATGGGTCCTACACCAGTAAATCGGTGAAGTAAACTCAGGGAAATCGTTCATAGTCAGAGATGTAGTACATTAAGAGGCTTCTACTGAGTTTTAGGGATTACATAGAAGTAGCGCATATAAGATCACACACAGAAATAGCCCCTTAAGCACTATATGATACTTGCACAATGCCAGATATGTGTAAGCAATATCTATATTGTATAGATAAGCTTACAACAAAGAATCTTAATAGTTATCCCAATTAAACACAGAAAATTAAAAATAGTTGTGATCGAACATATCAAGTAGATTGAGGATTTAACCTTTGTTTATCGTTTATCGTAATTTAATAATCGTCTAGAGTTTGCAAGGGTAATAATAAACTTCACACACGGCAATTTCTACTTCGGCGACGCACAATTCCTAGATAACACAAAAACACTAATGATTTATTATCTTATCTGTAACACTTATACTAGAAAAGGCTTTTAAACTTCTTTAGTATCAACCTTTTTCGTTAATCATCATCTAGTTTGTATCTGATTTAAAAGTTTTCTAATAAGCGAGTGAGCTTAGCTACGCCACCATGTTATAAGTTTCCAATAGGTAAACAAAATTGATCCTACAATGTGTGTTTAGAGATTTGTGAAAACAATATATTGCTATGAAACGATGATTGCTTGGAGAACAGAGAAAATTATCCAAGAGTAAACATTATCCATAGTAAATAACTAAATAATGCTAATTTGATTTTTATCTTTTTGATTGATAGACTTTCATCCGGACACATGGAACCCCACTTGGTGTGTGGGCACAATTCTCACTGGACTGTTGAGCTTCATGGTAAGTTCCTTTAAAAATACATAATTATCCATAAATACTAAAAATCTATATATCTACCTATCAGCTGGAGAGCACACCCACACTGGGATCCATCGAGTCGTCGAACTATGACAAGCAAGTGTTTGCTCAAAAATCGCTAGCATTTAACCTGCGCAACACCAACTTCTGTGAGCTGTTTCCCGAAGTGGTCGACGAGATCAAGCTGCGATTGCAAGGAACACAGGCGGCTGCAGCGGGCGGAGTTGCCTCCACTTCAAGCGGAGCGAAGCGCTCCAACGGGCTGGCCAATGGTGCGGCCTTGGCAGCGGCGGATGGAAATCTGGCGGGAGGTGGGTTAGCCAATCCTCTAAACGCGGGAGATGCCATTGATGGCGGGGCGGCGGGTCCGTCGGATTTGGCCGGTGGCGGCGGAGCGTCGGCACTCCAGAATAGTGCACGGAATTCCTACCTTAACTGGCAGTCCGTCTATTCAAACCTGGTGATCATCATCTGCTTTGCGATATTTGCCCTCATTGTTAATTACGTGATCAAGAACCTGAATCAGGAATAGAAGTAACGACACAGCCTCTATATTTATATACAAATATAGTTACACATCCGTATGCGTGTGCATATTTAATCTAGTTTACTCTAACGTAGTCTTCGTGGATTCAGTACCGCTTGGGAAGTATTTATAGACCCCGCTTTATCCAAAAAAATTTACCGCCTCAGGCCCCCGCCATCCATTCCCACTAATCCCACGATCGCTGTTTAGTCTGAAATAATTGGCAATAACAACTTGAAACACAGAATCACACATTTCTAAACTCAATTTGTGAAATTTATAAATTGTTTTGTTATTGTATTCATTACTATTAAAGCCTAGTTTAATGCAAAATGAATGAAGCCAGGAATATGTTTGTAAATGAATAAAGAAGAACGGCAACATATGAGCTCGTGTACAAATTAGCCAACTTAACATGCCAGTTTACTGCTTATAAAATGGATCTTCATTTTCAGCCACCATAAATTGCCTGACGTTGATTCAACTTTTATAATAAGTTGTGATTTGTAGTTGGCTTTTCGCTGGCTAAGCGGCTTAAGTGTGAACCAAAGTCGCTGGCTGCCGACTATAATTTTTTCTCATTCTCGGTGAGTATGGGTAAATCCAATAAACGGAAGCCAGGATGACCAACAATGTTTCACATTTAAGCAGCTCAACACGCCCACGAGTCTCTGCGGCTACTTTGTTGGCCTTCTTAAGCCAAAATTACACACATGACGCTTATTACTGACGAGGGAGGGCTTTCTGCCTGTTGGTTACAGCAAATTAGAACCCATTGTTGTAAGGAGTAATGTCCTTGAAGTAAAAACTACAGTCGGAGCGAAAAAATAGAGCACACTATGTGAAATTATATATACATTTTTTTGTGGGTTTCCAAATCTAACAGTATATGATTACCCAAAATTTATTGTATATTTTTTTTAAATTCTGGATTGAAGAACTATTATTCCCAGATTTTAAAAAAGGGAATCAACTTACTAACCAGACGAACAAAACGAAAACTTCGTTTTGTGATGAAAGTTTTTTTATACCAAAGTTGATAATTTAACTAACGTAAATTTCAAGTTCAGCTGCAAAGTTTCCGTCTGCGGCTGCCACTTGCAACTTTTCAAATTTGGTTGTTTGTTTTATGAACTTGCAGCAGTTTTAAGCCAATTTTGGTTGCACAAAATGGAGAAAAACCCACTGGAAGAAACAAAACATTAAATGATATCCCGGATGGCAGAGAAAAAGGGGACACACAGACCCCATAACCGAAATATCTCTGGTACTGTCATCAAGTATTTTTATGGGGAGTGAAGATGGGCGGGATTTTGGGGCTTGCTTGTGCTTTTTGTACGGAATTTATTTGGAGTGTCCACCAAGATGGCGACTGGACTCCAAGTCCAAACTGTCTCCTGCATTTCCGGCTTATCCTTTTGACGCTCGTGCGGATGTGCAATTTTTGCTCATTTGTTCTTGGCATTTATAAGCTTCACTTGCCCGAAAAGAGGTCACTGGTGTCCGGGAATCCGAGGAGTTCATTGTTCGCCACCGAAAACAAATCCCCAAATGTGCTCATCGCCGCCGGACCAGGCTTAAATGTCCAAAAAATAGCTGCAGGACATTAGTTGACGGCAATAAATGTCGATGCTGCCGGGCTAAGCGGCTTATCCTGAGCAAATATTCACGGGTAAGCCCACGAAAACAAAACATGAATGGAGTGGTCGATGGCCACCGGGGAAGTCGGCCTACTGGGCCATAAAAATAATGGCCAAAACAAAGCGAGTGCCCACGGCCAAGACGACCGGGCAGATAAATAAATATAAATAAATAAAAATAACAAATGCTATAATCATTAAGTACGCCTCATTGGTGGACATGTGCCCCCAAGTTCGCTGGCCATCTGGAGCTGCCTTTATGCCGTGGGATCTGCACAGGAAAAATAAATACATTGGGATATAAATTAACTCGGGCAATAATAAAAACAAATCGTACCTATTACATTTCATTTATTGTATTATAATACAAATGGTTTGTGTTTTTATCATATCATTATCAAGATAGGATTATCGTTGATATAATAGAATATATACATATATATATTTTCTTTTGGAAATTTAAATACTACTTAATTATTTTTGTATGATTAAAATAAAAATATTATTTTCAAGTTAGAATTATCTTTAAAAAAAAATAATATATATTTATTTAGTTGTAGAGTGTGCTTAAAATATAAATATATTCTTTATGGAAATTTTTATCATATAGAATAAACGTTACCTATTTCTTTCTGTGTATCTTTCTTGACCACCCAGGGGTCATAAATGTTACACATCCGCACACAAACACAGACAAAAGCGCATATAAATGAAAATGCTTGTTAAATTATGTGGGCAATATACGTTTATGCCTGTGTCAGTGTGCGCAATAAACGATAAAACATAAACTTAACATGCAAAGGCCACGCGAAAATAGCAGCCGAAATGTATGCTATGTTTGTGTTTATTCGTTTTGTGCCAGTGTGAGTGTGAGTGTCCTGCGATGGGAGCATTCTCTTTATCAATGCATAAACAAATGGACATCAGCTGCAAATTATGGCAGGATTGACCAAACGAAAGGGTAAGTGGGGTGAGCCAAAAAAAGGACTATACAAGTGGTGAAGTATTCCCAAAAAACCCCAGGGACGCAAATAAAAAGAAGATACATCTTAAAAACTTCAGTGATAGATACTTTTAGTTTTAAAAAAACTTTTAAATGTAATATTTAAATTATATTCCCAAAAACTTATTACACATAAATATCAAAATGTTATTATTATGCATATTTTATTTTAATTTAAAATTCAAAAAAGTTTTGTTGATATTATAAAAAGTATTATATTGAAAACCTAAAAAAAGAATAAAGAATAATAAAAAAGTCCATATAATTAACAATTTTTTGGCATTTTATCAGCGTAATATTTTCTTTAAGGTATACCCTGCCTTTAGGTTCAATCAAAGATACAAAGAAGCTCTTTCTTTAAAAATAAGAAAATAATTATGGTTAAAAATTTGCATAAATCGATATAAGATAATGGAAAAGGGCTTCTCATGTGTACTTACACACCGGCTCCAAAGGGATGATCGGTGAGCAGTGACTGGGATGGTCAATTGGTGAGCTGGACAATCGTTAATTCATCCTGTCAACGGTCTGCAGCTCGTTAACTGCCGGAAGCCGTGCTCTTGGACGCTAATCTATGGCCCCACGATGGACATTATGGCCTGTCCCGTCCGCTTCATCATCATCATCATCATCAGCTCCAATATCATTTTCCGTGGGCCCATGGTGCAGCAAATTGTAAATTGCAAATTGTGAAATTCGCTGGACGATTCTAATGCGACCTGATGATGCCCAGAGATGGCAGTGGAAAAACTTTACTCACCACTCGGCCGCAACGCCATAAATTTCAATTAGTGCGGATGCATTTGGGCATTTGCATGTGCCAATTTTGAATTATGAACTCGGGATTTTGCAAACTGACTAATTGCTGATTGAGTTGCGTTTGGGACTGGATTGGGCTTTTGCCGGCTTAGTGGATCAACCAATCAATGTCTGATTGTTGGCACAGTCGAGAGGCAATTAGGTAACACTGTTGGTTGCAGTTTTGGGAAATGGCTAACTGGGGCAGTCAGGGGTGCATATATGCACGGAGAATGAAATCATAACAGTACTTTGTGATGTTTCTGAGTTCTAAAGAAACCATTCAAGGTTTCTAGGATGAGAGGATGATACATTGTAATCTGTCACCTTTTTTTGATATATATTTTTATGTAACATATGGAAAAGTGTCAGGAAGTCTTTAAAAATTATTTATTATTAATTCATATTTAATTGAACTTTTTAAATAGTCTTCAATATTCGAATGTGATTTGTTGCTCACATTTTTGAATACTTAATTACCATATCAAATGATAAAAAAAAAACAAGTTATATTTTAAATGGAATCTCTTTTAACTGTTCTTATAAAAGACTTTTTTTACTACCTTTTCTTCCATTCCGATAATTTACAACCCAGGCGAATGCGAATTGAAAACGAGTGCGAGCCATTAATTTCTTGCTGTGTGTGGTCCTCTTCATCGTTGGCTGTCAGTGTCAAGTTGCTGCCGTCCTAACTCCAACAAATTATGAGCACAATAAAAAGTGGCAAGAGCAACAAGAACGAGTGCGACTACATGAGCGGCAACAACAAATGCAGCACGCGACACTTACACAAGTGGCAGCCACTTCCGGCCAGCAGATGCTCCACATCCACATCCACTTCCAGTCCTAGTTACTGGCCCACTCCTGCTGCTCCTCCTGCTCCTCCTCCTGCAGTTACTGTTACTGTTCCTGTTCCTGAACTACTGCCATTGCTGCTCCTGGAAGGACTTTAAGCCTTGAGTGCTTACTTGTTGTTTTTATGGCAATGTGTGAGACTTTCGCATTGAATTAACTTGAGTGGCCGGCGAACGAGGGCGTTCGTGTGGTCAGTGGCTGGCATTTATGGATCAGCCTGTCAGAGCTAGCACATTTGTCAAGTGTTTTCATTTACTGATGGATCAAGGAACTTCAGGACTAGGACTAGGCTACCAGACTCATTGGTACTCAGAAAGTGGATCACAAAAAGCAGGAAATGCTTGATAAGAGTAAAAATTAAAAAATTCTATAAGAAACGATCATAAATATATAATTTATATATATTTTTACTTGATTAAAAATTATAATGGTTGCCCATTGAAGCTAGTTCTATACATTTTTATGTTAGTCCTAGTTTTGAAAATTATTCCAACACCATAAACATAGAAATTAAAACTAAAACCCCTTTATTATAGGTAAATTAAAAGAATATCTTAAAACAATTATCCCTCGCCGGGAAAATGCAGCTCAAGCTAAGTTTTGCCATTTGAGTCTTATCATTTCCTTTGGCATTCAGCCAGGCGAAAAGTTTCCTTTTCGCTATGCGGCATTTAAGGACACTCCCTGTCTCAGAAGTCATCAAAGCGAGATACGCGTGAAAGAAAGTGCCCCACTAGAATATGCAAAACAGGCAGTAGGAGCTGGGGTTAAAAAGGCAGTTCATAGCCACTGCACATGCACATAGATATGCCAACTTGTTGCTGCGTTTTTGCAGTACAAGCACGAGTTGTTGAAAAGTAAAATTATTAAAACTTTTTGAATTAACAAAGCGCCAACAACGCGCTAAATGACGTCGACGATGTCCGCGCAAAAAGTGAATTAAAAGGGGAGTAAAAAGCGACAAAGTTAATTTATGCACAACTAGATACAAACAAGGATGCTGCGGGGGGAAAGGGACGTAAGGACGAATAGTTGAAACTGTCGCTGAACTGGGGAAACGGAAAACTGAACGCCATATTAGATTCAAATGCATTTCCCTGTTGGTCGACACCTCCCGTTTCCGGTTGTGCCGGGGTTGCACCACCCACTTTTGCCTACGCCACCCGTTTTCCAGCCCCTGGCTTCCGCACTCGCAACCGGAAATGAACAGCAAACTTTTCAATTGAGTTTTCCGCCTCTGCAGAAGAGCCCGGGCCACGATAAAGTTTTGGCATTATTTTTGTTTATTTTCTTGTTGATCCATAAAATACAACCCCGACCAGTGGCGTTTTGCGAAGATTTTATCAGGGGGGTTAGGAAATTTGTTCTTAAGTCGAGCTCGATTTAGAGTTGCAGAGATACAAATTTATTCATAAATTGGTTACCAATTTGTTAAAGGTGGAGATAATATTTAAATAAATATATCAAGTAACTAAATCAATTTTATGTATTCTAAAATTTTTTATGAACTGCCTAAACCCCCCTAAATAATCCAATAATGCCGAAAACAGCATTTCTGGGCGTGGGTATTTGCGACCAAGTTCCCTAATTGAGCTTAACATTTGGGGCAGTTAGCATAAATTGACAACGAGCCGAAACTGAAACAAGAACAGGGGCGAATGTTAATTAATTTGCGGACAAATCCTTTGTAACGAAGCCAAAAACTACAAGGTTCTGCAAACAATCAAAGCTCATAAATTCCGAACAAATTAAGCAGTCGAAACTTGGTCCCTAATCCAAGTCTCAGCTGGTGTCCAGCGGATGGTAATGATGGGTATTTACCAGGCAACCGGAAACAGGAAAACAGCAGCAAAACATCGACAACAACCCCCACACATCAATGGCAATCATGGAAATTGGACAGCTAAGTTTAGGCCCAGAACAAAGAAGAAGAAATAAAGGAAGGGGACTGGGTTGAAGCGGAAAAAAGAAAAGCAGGAAAATATATATATGTGTTTTTAGGGCCTAAAGAAAATGCCGACAAAGCGAACAGAAAATCAACAGAACCAAGCAGGCAATAAACTGCCTGACAAATGAAAATAAAGGCCAGGCCCGCAATGAGCCAAAGAGCAGCAAGATACAAAATACGTAACACAACCTACGAGATACAAGCAACATCCTACAAGGCGGCTAGAGCGGCCAAAAGGCAAAATGAACGAGCAGCAGTTGATGCCCTTCCGTTGGGCGCCATGGCTCCTCCGCTTGGGGCACATCCGCCGCTGGTCATTTCAATCAATTTACCCGAACACACTCACATGAGCAGCTCCAGACGGATGGTTCCATACATGCATGGCGTTATATGTAGGTGCACTGGGAGAAATTACACCAGCTGGCTTTTTGAAAATAAAAAAAATATTTCTGTTGGAATAAATAACATTTAACAGAGGCTTATCCTATTATTTTCGTAAATTTTATATTGTTTATTTTAAATATCAAAATATAAAATATTTTTTTTGGTTGTGATATAGGAAAATTCCACAAATTTCATTTGATTTGTAGTTACAGCTAGAATTAATTGAATTACAAAATTAGCTATTATTTAAAAGAGTAACTATTTAGCTGAACACACAATACCTAACAACCAATAATTTTTCCAAAAATTAAATAATAAGTCAAGATTGATATTAAGAAATTTTATTTTCAGTGCAGGCTGGATTCAACTTTTTTTAATAAAGGTTTGGTGGGGAAGCTCTGCTGAAATTCGCTAGCCGGAAATGGCAGCCATGACGGAAACGAAGACACATTGTTGCTGCGGCCCCAAAGCTACGAATCAGCGTCTGTGTGTGTGTGCAAATGGTTAGACGCGTGTGTGAGTGTGTGTGTGTGCGTGTGAGAGAGGTGGAAAGGACATACATAAGCAGTTATTTGTCATGTAGCAAACTCTCAAAATACTTTATTCACACACACAGTGTCGTGCAATACAAAGAAATGTTTGCAGCTCAGCAAAACACCGGAAGTCGTAAAAAGTATTTCAATTTAGTGCAAAACGTCCTTGCCACCTCCTCCATCACTCTGTATCCACCAGCCCCTCCCCAATACACTCCCCTCATCACCTCCAGCTGCTCCGCTGATTGAAGACATGGCCAGCATACTTTTTCCCCTTTTTTCCGGTGCTGTTTTTATGTGGCCACGTTTTTTTCTCCTGCATATCCAGCGATCCCGAAAACTGTGAACCGGCAACTATGTGGTAGCGCACAGCATTATTGCATTAAAGCCATACGATGGGGGCTTAAGTTAAGGCAAACGATATTAAAAAATTGCTGCTGAACTTTCCCGGAGGAATTTTTCGGAATCTTTTGGTAAAAATGACTGGTGGTCTTTAAAAATTCCAAGTAATTTATAGAATTTCTTCAAAAAATGTGCCGTGTTTGTAATTGTTTTAATAATCTATTCGAATTATTACTGTGCAGCTTGTGAAATAACTCAGAATAGTTATAAAAGAAATAATAATTAATAATTTATCTGTTCAAATAAAAATAGTATTCATCCATAGGTATTATTTATTATTATACAACATATCTTTTAAAAAGGTCAGTCACAAAAGCATTTTTCCAAATGATCGCTAATTAAGCTGCAATGACTAAGACTTAAACCACATATGGAGCACTTGGAGATGTTTTTAACTGGACTAAGAGCGTGAAGGGACTGAGAAATGAGCTTTTCAACTTTTTGCTGGCGGGCCGTCAATCGTGGATGACTGAAATGCTTTGCAAGATCAAAACGTCGCGGACTTTTGCTGCGGGAAGGAGAAGACCCCCGCGATAGGGATCTCTGCTTTCTGCGAAGTTTTAAATTTTCCTTCAAAGTCTTCTCATGCTTTCTTTCCAGCTCCAATTGAAAAGGTGTTTTGGTCTGCTCATTAAAGAACTTTTCCCAACGTTTAAGTATACCTTTGATAGGAAAAAGTAATATTATTTATATTAAATGAATTTCTAATTATATAGGGTTTTTATAATCCCACCTTCGACATCGTAGTGATTGTTTACCGACAAATCCTCAAGGTCGTCAGTGGAACTCGAGGCTTTACTGACTGATTCCGGGAAGACCGAGGACCGTAAGACCCGCCTCATTCTAGAATCCATCTGTTTCTTGAGTCCCTCGAACTCCGCCTCGTTCAGAATCTTTTCGTAGGCCGTATGACACCGCTTCAAGCGTCTATGGTGTAGCTTCTGCAACGTATCATCATATGTTTTGGAGTGAGCACTGTAGCTCTTAAGCAGAAGTAGATCGGTGGCCTTGGTTGGTGTTTTGTCCTGCATCAGCAGACTAAACACTTGCTTAAGTTCCCCTGCATGTTCTCCCACAAGTTCGTGCAGGTCATGATCGTGAGCTCCGGAAATCAGATCATGAGTGAACCGAGTGGGAGGGGTAACTCTGTGCGAAGCTGCCCATTTTCTATTTCCGGCATGACCATCGCCAGATCCATGTTCTGTGGCCATAAGATTATGATTATCCTCTCCATCCACATCGTGGTCTTCATGTGCGATGTCATCATCTGCGCCATCTTCATCCATTGAACCAGAAGCATTGGAAAGCTTTCTGTGTTTATCATGTGGAAAAAATCTTTTCCTTTCAGAGAAAAAGTTCACTATGCTCTTGGGTTCTTCGACTAAATGTGGTTGCTTTTCTGCTGGATTGGTGTTCAATTGCTTCTTGGGTTCTTCGACTGAGTGTGATTGATTCTCTGCTGGATTGGTCTTCAATTGCTTCTTTGATTCTTCGACAGAGTGTGATTGATTCTCTGCTGGATTGGTGTTCAAATGCTTCTTGGGTTCTTCGACTGAGTGTGGTTGCTTCTCTGCAGGATTGGCGTCCAATTGCTGAGCCTCTCCTATTTGAATTTCAATGCTCTCAGATCCGATCGATGTCCCGGATTTCCTCAAAATGCCAGATGATGCCTTTGTTTCCTTAACACCCAAAGCCATGGAGCTAGATTCATTTATCCTAAACTTCTTGAACTTTCGCATAGTCCTGATCATCAAGTGGCTAGAGGTTGTCTCACCTTTATGAATCTTTTTTTCATCCAAAGCCATCATTCTTTTGATTGCAGCCGGTATATGAGTACTTCTACTTGTAGCACTTGTTTTACTTTCTATGTGGCTTAAAATGTAAACTTTACTTTCCGTTTGCGGGAGACCTTTGAAAAGAGTTTTCATTTCTTTCTGACTTCTACTCCTTTTTATAAGGCTACTTTTATTGCGATTTTGTTTTCTATTACGATTTTTATTGTGACTTTGACTACTGATTTTATTGTGATTTATAGTACGGTTCTCGGTTTTATTTTGGGTGCGATTTTGATTGAGAATAATATTTTCGGTTTTACTGCGGTTTAGACTATGACTTCTACTACGGTTTTTACTAGTTCGGCTTTTACTTCGAGAGCGACTTTTATTGCGAATTTTTCTGCGACTTTTACTTCGACTTCTGTGACTGGTGATTTGTCTACGACTTATACTTGTGTATGTACTGGGATCGCGATGACTAATATGAATGCTAATTTTACTTTTATTTTTAGTGGGACTGTGAACGCCGTTTAGAACATGATTTCTATTTTTGTTGGCACTTGAAGTTCGAATGCTACTTGTAGTTGGGTTGCGTTTACTTCTAGTTTTACTGCGACTTCTAGTCCGAATTTGACTCTGACTACGACTTTGGCTGCGAATTTTACTACGCTTTTTAATTAGACTGTGACTTCTGCTGTTCCTTTTTTCTTCTTGTTACATTTGTTTTGTATTTTATTTATTATCGAAATCAGAGATTTTTCAAGGTGACGTATCATGCGAGTGTCTTTACTTAAACCATCTCTGAGCTTCAATAATTGAGAGCTTTCCCCATCCTTTTCTTTTTGAATATTTAGGTATATTTTTGACGCATTTTTGTTTTTCTTTGATGATAAGTGAGTTGTTCTAAAGTTAAGAGGCTTGGGAACACTATAAGGACCATGGATGATATTGCAAGATGGTGAGGGGGTTCGATTGCAGATTTTAGACTGCATTTTCTGAAACTTGAAATTCATTTTAGAATCTTTCTTTAGAATTTTAAAATTTTTGGGATGGGTTGGAAATGATGATTTGGGTATATGATCTGCGTTTCGGATCTCTTTAGGTCTTCTTTTTAGGGCCTCTTCCAAGGGAACAATGCCAGCTAATGCCATTTCAATTCTTCGTATGTAACTCTTAAAGTGTGTCCATGCCTGAGGTGACTTTTTAGCCAGATTCTTTATCATTTTTATTTCTCTTTTAATATATTCCCGATTCCTTTTCTTAATGGTCAAAACATTTTGAGCTTGCAAAATTTCTTTGTCCATTTCCAGATTCATTTGATAAAAGAGTTTGCGAAAGTGTTGGTAACTACGATCTCGCAGCATTTTAGATCGATTTTTCTGCTCTAGTTGCTTTTGGGTTATTATTCGGTTCAGCTGTCTGATCTTTGCATTTCGAATATTATAAGCCAGTCTTAATAAAGCATAAGCCCTTTTTTTTCGCGTGGCCAATCTGTGGAGTTCCAATGAGAGGTTACTTGCCGATCTATCCCGATTTCCAGGTGTTAGACTTCGGTTTCTTGGGGTCTTAAGGTTGCTTTTGCTCCTTAATTGGATTGCTCTGAGCGCCATTTCAATGTAAAACTAATATTTTTAAAATACTTTTTATCTTTGAAATTTTATTCAACTTTGAGTATAAATGCCAAACTATATTGAAAAACAGTTTTAGCAATTTTCATTTGGTTTAGTGGTTAAACTTAATTATTCAATATTTAAAGATGGAAAACCTGTCTGTTAAAAATGTATGGTATGGATAATATGACTGATTTTGAATATTTTAAGAAATTCTAGATTATAGTGCAGTATTTAAAGTATATTATTTAAAGTCCCGCTGGCCTTCTTCAATATCTATGTCAATCTCATCTGGATATCTTTCGTTTTCCAATCCCATCTTGGTGGCAGCCAGTTCTGCTCTGACAATTTCTCCTTGTTTCGCCTCAATTCCAGCTTTGGTAATATATTTCAGAGACACGTCGACTTTTCCAGGGCCCTTTTCCCCAAGTTATTTTCCCCGTTTTCTCCGCCTTCCGTTTCGGCTTGCTGCTCCGTGACTTTTCGCGTCTGGCGATTCACACGTTTTGGGCTACGGAATAGTGGGGCCAATTTCAGGCTTTTCCCCGGGCTAACACCAGATCTGGCAACATTTTTATTTGGATTCTTTGTTGTCATTGGTTTTCGGAGCCGTCGGAGGCAACGTGACTATTAGTGCGCCATTTAACGCCTTTAATGTGTCTCTGAGCTGTTCGCCATTGCCCGGGGCACGTAGTTAGCATTCTGCAGCTGCAATCCGTAACACAAATTAATGATTTTGAGGCATCGACGTTGCCAAGACAAACAGAAATGAGAGCTGGTCAACAAACAATCTGCCATGTGTATCATATTATACGGCAACTGAGCCAAAGATGCTGATGCATGTTTGCATCTCTGTGCGTCTTCTCTGGGCCAAAATGAATTTAGTAGTCCGTAAACAAGGTGCACAGAAAGAAAATTGGTACTAGAAAGTAGAAAAACCAGAAGGTAGTGGTCAACAAGAAATAAGTACATAAATTCTTAAGTAATAAAATTAGGAAGTGCAGTGATGGGTGAAAGCCACTCTAAATACGGAAAATTCGAACATGAACATGGGCTAAAATTTTGACCCTCGTTATAACGAAATATTTTGATGTATAGTATTAGGGAATTCCACCACAAACTCATGGAGGTAACCCATGTCTAAATCGGGATAAAATTACACAAGTTATGAAAGTTAAAAGTGCAGTTTCGGGTTCCCATTCTGAGAGCCATTGGAAATACTGAAAAATGGAACATGAAAATGGGTTAAAATTATGACCCTCTTTCAAAAGAAACATTTTAACGCAGAATATTAGAGAATTTAATCACAAACTCATAGAGGTATCCCATGTATAAATCGGGATACAATTACCCAAGTTATGAAAGTTAGAAGTGCAGTTTTGGGTTCCAATTCTGAGAGCTATTGGAAATACTGAAAAATGGAACATGAAAAGGGGTTAAAATTTCGACACTCTTTAAAAAGAGATATTTTAATGTAGAATATTAGAGAATTTTATTACAAACTCATAGAGGTATCCCATGTCTAAATCGGGATACAATTACCCAAGTTATGAAAGTTAGAAGTGCAGTTTTGGGTTCCCATTCTGAAAGCCATTGGAAATACTGAAAAATCGAACATGAAAAGGGGTTAAAATTTGGACCCTATTAAAAAAGAAATATTTTAATGTAGAATATTAGAGAATTTTATTACAAACTCATAGAGGTATCCCATGTCTAAATCGGGATAGAATTAACCAAGTTATGAATGTTAGAAGTGCAGTTTTGGGTTCCCATTCTGAAAGCCATTGGAAATACTGAAAAATCGAACATGAAAATGGGTTAAAATTTGGACCCTCTTAAAAAAGAAATATTTTAATGTAGAATATTAAAGAATTTTATTACAAACTCATAGAGGTATCCCATGTCTAAATCGGGATAGAATTAACCAAGTTATGAATGTTAGAAGTGCAGTTTTGGGTTCCCATTCTGAAAGCCATTGGAAATACTGAAAAATCGAACATGAAAATGGGTTAAAATTTGGACCCTCTTCAAAAATAAATATTTTAATGTAGAGTATTATAGAATTTTATTACAAACTCATAGAGGTATCCCATGTCTAAATCGGGATACAATTACCCAAGATATGAAAGTTAGAAGTGCAGTTTTGGGTTCCCATTCTGAAAGCCATTGGAATACTGAAAAATCGAACATGAAAAGGGTTTAAAATTTTGACCCTCTTTAAAAATAACTACTTTAATGTAGAATATAAGAGAATTTCATTAAAAACTCATAGAGGTATCCCATGTCTAAATCGGGATAGAATTAACCAAGTTATGAAAGTTAGAAGTGCAGTTTTGGGGTTTCCATTCTGAAATCCATTGGAAATATTGAAAAATCGAACATGAAAAGGGGTTAAAATTTTGACCGTCTTTAAGAAGAAATATTTTAATGTAGAATATTAGAGAATTTCACCACAAACTCATAGAGGTATTCCATGTCTAAATCGGGATACAATTACCCAAGTTATGAAAGTTGGAAATTAAGTTTTGGGTTCCCGTTCTGAAAGCCATTGGAAATACTGGAAAATGTAACATGAAAATGGGCTAAAATTTTGATATTTGATTAAAGGAAGGAAGAAGGGCTATAACAATTTCCATTAGCTTTGTTCTTAAACGATGAGATGGATATTTGAAATAAAAATTGTATTAAACATCTTAAGTAAAACATTTCAATACATTTTTTTCAGTGCACCTTCGTCGATATGTGAGCTTGTTGTCAAAATATCAAATACGCCTGACATTCTAAGTAATTTTCCATTGTGATTTATCTTCATCAGTGCGTTTGTTTCCAGAATTTCAGGATTTCTGCCTCTGATTCCAATTTTGACCGCACGACCATGATTTTAATTAATGCGTAGGATAAAATCAATTTGCAATATGACCGAGCGACCGACTTGCCGCAAGCTTCAAATTAATGTCTGTGCTTACACTGGAAGCAAGAATTTCTGCTCATTTAGTCGACTGGGCTATAAATAAGTCACCCGGCCAACGGTGCGTATGTGCTATCCGTAGGATGTCGCGTACAATGGGCGAAACGTGCGGCTCGTTTGTCACGTGCGCAGTCAGTAAATTGCAATAAGCGCCGCACCAAGTTGAAATAAGTGCGAGAGAAGAAAGTGGTTTATTTTTCACGGCGAAACCAAATAAAAGTGGAAGCTCCAGAGTTGTCTCATCAATTTCTGGCATTTATCTGCGGGCAAAAAGCGAACCAGTGTTCAAAGTGAACTTTTTGCAATCAGGTAGGATTAGAGATGACAACAAAAAGATTTATATTGTATTAATATTAAGGAAAATATCAGATATGAGTAAGTCCCATATTGTTTCAACAGATCTTAGTCTAAAAGCCTTAAATCAACCCATATTAAATTCCCTGATGGCTAATATTAAGTTGTAATTAAAATAAGATGAATGTATGTACATACAATTTTTCAATGCATTGATTTCATTATCACTTTGTGTTTAAATTTCAGAGCACCTCTTGAAGTATTATTTCAAGTATAATCTCAATCTTGGCAATTTCCTTTCTTTTTGGCCCAAAAAAAGTACTTTCCCAGCTCTCGTTTATCATTTCGCTCGGCACGACATTCATTTTGGCTGCCTTGACTGTTTGCACGTTTTTTCATTTGTACTTTCGGAGGTGTGCCTTTTGGCTCACATAGATTTAAGTGCCTTTTCTGCTCAGAGGGCTGGCTGCGGAAATAAAATTGAATTAATTCGCCATCAGAGCGATACAATTTAATTATAAGCAGATACGTGATATTGGCTCACGTTCTGTCAGGGTCAGTTAGCTGTTTAAATATAGTTTCGCAAATCGCTTATAATTGCTATTGAAGACCATTAGCGCTGGCCATGCATAACATTTTAAATCATGCCACGCCAAATGAAAGTGCTCCGTGGAGTATGTGTTTTTTGCGATCATCGACGTTCGAACGGCAACAAAAATAGCAAAAATCCAATTATGCCCAAGCACGTATTTTCCATTAAGCAAACAGCAAATGGCGGCGAGCCGATAGCAGTCAGATAGCCACAAGCACATTATGGCCAAAGGTAGTACACTGTCCTGTTCCTGAGTCCTGTTCTGTAGTAAAAAAATACACAAAATTGGGTTAAAAATTAAAAGTTATTATCTGAGTAGCTACAAACTTTAAATTGGAAAAATATGTATATAATAAATGACCACCAAATGGAATATTTAAAAGATCCTTAAAATTAAGTGCGTTAAAAATCTTAATAGGAAAAATTTCCGAAAACAACTAAACATAAGAACGATATCGATGGACATATTAAATAATATTTAATTAATTTTTAGATAATTGTTAATTAATCCTTGAATACAGATAACTCTTTCAGATTTTCTCTAGCAATCGATAACGTCAAGTTGAATGCAAGTTGGCCCCACCATCTGGTTTTCCCTTTTGAAAAGTAGTTGCAAATGGGAACGGAGCTGATAGTCTCAACCTTTTAATGAATCAGTTCCTGCTGCCACGTCTCTGGGTCTCCGTTTATTTCCAACAATTAAACCCATCAATGGCAGCATCAGCTGATGCGCTTAAGCCAGTCCCGAGACCATTAAGCCCAGTTTGAATGTCGCTTCGTGGGGCTGGAGGGAAAACCTGGTAAAACCAGGGAAACCCAGGGAAAAACCATGGAAATCCAGGAGCGGGAGTGCCTCGGCACACATGGCAGTGCACACTTGACATTTCAATTTCCGCATGCACCCCGAGAACTCACAACAAAGCAGAGAAACAGGAGCAGCAGCAGCTCGAAACACGAAAAAAAAAGAAAAACTGTAGCCAATTCCATGCGGGCAACGTCGCAAAGTTGCTTTCAATTACCCAGTCAGGACACGCTTGCTGCCTTTTGTTTTTTGCATGCCCGGCACGCCCCCTGCCACTCCCACCGCCCACTCCTTACGCCCACTCACCACGCCCCCCTCCCCCGACGACAGATGTACAGTTCT